GAACTAAGATATCTTATCAGAGATAAAGCCGGGAAAGTGCTGCCTTATTAGAAAGAGAGACTTGTAACTTCTTCCCTCTAGTTCTCCCAGTAAGAAAGGAAGGAAAGATGATATGGTGACTCTTACAGAACTGTCTTAAAAACCTGTGAGATGCTGCCCAAACAGTCACTTTTGAAATCCTATGTGCTACCAGGCATTTTGGTGCCACAACCTTTTCTTTTTAAAATAATTTCAGATCTTTTCTTCTTGGTTTTTCCAGGCAGGGTTTCTCTGTGTAGCCCTGGCTGTCTTAGAACTTGCTCTGTAGACCAGGCTGGTCTCAAACTCAGAGATCCGCCTGCCTCTGCCTCCCAAGAGCTGGGATTAAAGGCGTGCGCCACCACCAGCAGCTATTTTAGTGTTTTTAATTGTGTGTGTCTTCTAACTCTATGTTAGTCTTAGGGATTGCATTCACCTTCACTCATCTGGCCAACCCTCCACCTTACTTTTTAGACAAGTTCTCTCACTAAACCTGGGGTTCACTGATTGGACTACAATAGCTAACCAGCAAGCCCAGGGATCTTCCTGTTTCTACCTCTGGAGCACCGGAATCACAGACAAGCTTTTTATGTGGGGGCTTGGAATCCAAACTAGGTCCTCTTACCTTCATGACAAATACTTTACACACTGAGCTAACTTCCCAGTTCGGAGAATCACATTTTTTAATGAGAATAAAGAAAAAAAATAACAAAATTCTATAATAGGCTAATACACCGAAGCCAGAAATGACTGCTCCTCATAGAAAATCTTAGGCAGTGACTGAACTTCCTGCTGCAGGCTCTGTGCACAGCGTGCTGCTGTTGGTCTTCCTGGGTGAAGACCCACAGCAAACAGTGTGGCTACGCTGAGTTCAAGTTAAGTCTATAACATTCTCCATTTTTCCTCTGTTGGATTCTATATTCCCTGCCTCCCAAAAGAAAAAAGAAAACAAACAAAAAACAAAAACTCAAGGACACATAAATATATATCTTTACTGTGGAACATTATTCTTTAAGTAAAAGGAATGTGTACTAATGTATGTGGCGGATGACCTTCAAAACAGGCTAAATGAAAGAAATCAGGGACCAGTAACTCAGCTCAGTGGCCTAAGTTGCCACCACCCAAGCTTGCTGACCCGAGTTCAAGCCTGGGACTCCCACCAAGCAGGCCTCTGACTTCCACATGTGCACCAAGGTCCTCATATGCTCCCGACATATATACATACACACAAATAAATCAATATACTTGTTAAAATTTAAAAGTTAACCAATCACAAAAGACCATTTAATCATCTACCCTTTGTGTCCATAATTCTAAAAAATTCATAGGTAGACAGTAAAATGGTCATGACTTGTGAGAAGCAGAAATGGGATAAATTAGGAAATGCGGAATGATTACTAATGAACACAACACTGTCTTTTCAGGTGATGAATGTTTTGAAATTCGCTATGGTTATGGCTTAGCGACACTAAGCAAACTTAAAAACCTAGGTATATTTTAAACAGATCTGTAAATTTTGTCTTAACACCATTTAAAAACTGTAAATCAAGTACATGAAAAGCTGAGCTTCACCAGACATCGAGAAATAACAAATCAAAACTGCAACGAGCTACTGCTTCATACTTACGAGCATGGTTATTAGTAAGTGAGCCGAGATGTAACCCAGCCGGTAGAGGGAAGCCCTGGGTTTGATTGCTAACATCGTATACACTAGGTCTAGTAGCACAGGCCAGAACTTGGGAATTCAAGGCAGGAGAATCAAGGAGTTTTAGGTCATCCTCAACTTCATAGGAAGGAAGTTCAAGAGCAGCTTAGGCTGTGGAAAGTTTGGTGGCTCTTTAAAAAGCTAACCAAAGAATTACTGTAAGAGCGACCAACTCTGCTCCTAACACATCAACAAAGCAGACAACAGTCTTGAACAGATACCTCTATGCCAATGTTTTTTTTTTTTAATATTTATTTATTTATTTATTTATTTATTTATTATGTATACAATATTCTGTCTGTGTGTATGCCTGCAGGCCAGAAGAGGGCACCAGACCTCATTATAGATGGTTGTGAGCCACCATGTGGTTGCTGGGAATTGAACTCAGGACCTCTGGAAGAGCAGGCAGTGCTCTTACCCTCTGAGCCATCTCTCCAGCCCCCCTCTATGCCAATGTTAACAGCACGATCCAATTATCAATAAACTCATGTCTCAAGTTCCAAATATAAAAGTTTCAAAAATAAATGCTGCTTCAGAGTACAGTCTACTTAACCAAAACACCCCTATTCAGCTCATTAACCAAATACAAACACAGTGAAAGCAATTAAAAGGCAGGCATTATCCTAAAAGAAGCCAATGGACCCCAGCCACCACGCACAGGCCAAAGACACCGGCTTCTCCTCTAAGAGTCCTGGGCATCTCTCATTTCGGTGTATTGAAGAGGAAGCTTTCTAATAGCTATCAGTAGTTAACACGCAGGGTTTATGATGTCTGCAAGCTCGGCCTCATTTAGGACTTGCTCACAGTCTGATGAGTCAAACGCAACTGTACTTTAGGTGAAGAATAGCTAAAGACGGGAACGGTGACCATGTGTGATTATGGGAGAGCAGCTGACTCGCTACTGACTCTTTTGAAAGCACTAATAAGGTGGCGCTTACCTGTTATCATATGACTCTTGCTCTTTAAGGTACTGCTGCATTAATTCTTCTTGTTTCTTTTTATCATATGATATTTTCTGCTCTGCCATCCATACCTACAACAGTGAAACAAAATATAATTTAACAACCTTATTAAACAGGCTGCTTCGTGTGTATATACATGCACGTATGCATGTATGCATGTGTGTGGTACGTGCATGTGAGCATGGAGTCAAGGGTTTAAAGCAAACTGTCTTCTTCAGTCACTTTCTTACTGAGGCAGGGTCTCTCACCGAACCCAGAGTTCAACTCCGCTAGTCTAGCTACCAGCTTGCAAGGAGGATCTCCTATCTTCATCCCCTGAGGGCGAGGATTACAAACGGGCCCCGTGGTGACCTGGCTTTCATGTAGGTGCTGAGGATGCAAACTCTGCCCTCACACTCGTGCACCAGGTGCTTTATCCGCTAAGTCTCCCTGACAGCCCTAGAAGCTGGCTCGTCTTCTGTAATCAGCCACACCTGGTTAGCCAGGCGTGCTGGCTCACGTCTGCAATCCCAGAACTCAGGAGGCTGAGGTAGGGGTAACTAGGTGTTCCAGGTCATTCAGAGCTACACAGGGAGACCCTGTCCAAAAGCAAGCCCCCCCCAACCAGAAAAATTACCATGTATGTCAAGCTTTAGATTTTACAGTTAACTAGTCTCAATGGAGCAAGAACTGAGATAAAAGTAAAACATAGGTCCATCGCCGAAGAGCTCACAATGATTCTTCTGCATATTATATACTATTTCATGACTGTTATAAAGTATTTCATGACTTAAAAAAGAAACTAAGAGTCAAGTGCAGTGGCTTACACCTGCAATTTCAGCATCTGGGAGGCAGAGACAGGAGGATCAGGAATTCAGGGCCATCCTCCCTGGATAGTAAGTTTGAAGCCTGCCTAGATTACAGGAGACTCCACCTCAAAAAAGAGGCCATGAAATGTGTAAAAGACGTGGAGAGTATGTACAAAATAAATAGAACAAGACTTTGGAGGGGGCCAAGGAATAAGGCAGAGATAGAAAGACCAAGCAAGCCGGTTTTCTTGGGGGTGGGGAGTGGCTTAACCGTAGCACTTGGGAGGCAGAGACAGGTGAATCTCTGGAAATTCGAGGGAGCCCAGTTTATACAGAAAAACCCTGCCTCGAAAAAAAAAATTAAGTAACTATATTCACAGATAAACGGTGTTAACACTACTTGTATTTTCTTCCACAGATATTCTAATGTATATATATATATATATACACTCATATACACATAACATTCTTCATATTCATGGCAACATACAGGATCCATAACTGGCTTAGAAACAACTAAAAGCTTAATATATTCTCACAAGCCTGTGTACTTCTGAGTACTTTTCGTGATGCATACATAAAAGGATGGCCTCGAACTCAGAGATCCTCCTGCCTCTGCCTCCCGAGTGCTGGGATCAAAGGCGTGCACCACCAATGCCCGGCTCCCCCTTTCTATTCTTTCCCCACACTATCTCAATTAATCTTCCAACAATTTTACACATGACGGCAACTGACATTGTCATTCATAATTAACAGAGTAGGAGGCTAACGATCACACCATTATACATTTTCTGCGAGGCTTCGGGGCTAAATGTGACTGTACTGAACTAGCAAGAAGTCCGGTCTGACTCAAAAGCTCAGACACTCTCCATCGCCATTCTTTCGCGCTATAATTCGGTGCTGTGTCCAGCACTTGATTGACCTGTAATTTTTTTTTTTTTTTAAAAGAAACGTTTGAACTTGAATGCGGCCATCAGACGCCACACTACTGGATGGAGATGTGGGCTGGAGTGAAAACAGGGTGGCTTTCTCTGGGAAGCTCTGTTAAGGACCGAGTCTCCACTCAGGGAAGCAGCGCTCCCGGGTCTTGGTCTTGGGGCTCCAGAAGACGGACCCGGAATGAGTTATGGCGTCAGTGTCCACAGTGACCGACAGGACCGGACTTGGGGGACCATCCGGTCTGTCGGGTTAGCATGGAGAAAGCGACGAGGTCTCCAGGCCCGCAGAGGACACGACCGTCCCAGGGAGCTCGGCTCATCGCTGCCCTCTCCGGATCCCTCTACTCACCTTCTTGATGTTGGATTTGGACGCAGGATGAAAGTCCTTTTTGCACATGAAATTAGCGAACGACTTCCCCATCTTGGAGTACGAGACGCAGAACTACTCAGCCGCTAGGTCTGCGAGGGACGTAAACAAACTCCGGGAGCGTCACCGGAACTGTCAGGAGAGCGTGGGAGAGAACGTCGGAGGTCGAAGGGGACTACTTCCGACGATTAGTCCTGGCCCTGCCCCTCCGTTTCCGGTGATTGCCTTGGTGGCTGCGGGTGCGTACTCGGCGTCCGCGCGTGCGCAGCGGAGGTAAGCTCGGGAGCCGGCTCTGCGCGCCATTCGCTGATGGCGGGGTCGCGGGCAGCTGTGGCCTCTGCTGCGCGGGCCTCGCTCCGAGCGCCGGCATCGGGAGTGGGCGAGGTCTTGAAGTTCGAGCCCAGCACTTTCTGGCAACGCCGGCTCCAGTTGCAAAAACTTTTTTGTTTGCTTTTGCAGCGCAGTTCTCATGTAGTTAACGGAGACGAGACAGTAAACCTCGCGCTGTAGGACGTTTGTGAGACCCAAAGGATTGGTGTTGTCGAAAGCATTGGGATAGACTCTTAGAGACCGAGGCTCTTCCCTTCTAGTTGTTATGGACAGAATCTCTCTAGTGTTGGCTGTCTTTGAATTCACAGATCTTCCTGCCTTTGCCTCCCGAGAGCTGCGAATAAAAGCGTGAGCCACTATACGCGGCTTCCTTCGGTTATTTCCAGCTATGCAGAAAGATATTCAACAAACACCGTGAATGATGACAACACGTTAGGGCCAAGGGCTTTCCTCCCCGGTGCTGTTTTTAGTTGCTGCCGCTATCCCAGTTAGTGCGTCACTCACTGGGACTTGATCGTCCTAGGGTTTGGTGTGGGTATGGCTGTTAGTCCACTGGCCTCTAGCAAGGATAAGAATAAGCCAGATTAAAACAGGCGACAGCTTTTGTTTGAGGGTCGAGTGTGTTGCAGGTTTTTGAATTGTTTTATTTGTGACACGGACTATGTAACTCTCAAACTTCAATCACAGGCATGCGCCTCCTAGCCGAACTTTCACCTTCAGGGTCATACTGAATCAAGCCTTAAAACAGCAGTACTAGATGGTGTTTTATTTTACTGATGAACCTGGAAAAAAAGAGGAAGAGAATTAATAGCCTGACTAAGTTATGTATTGGGCTAGCTAACTTTGGAGCCCTGTAGGTAGGAGATCAAAACTTGCAGAGAGGAGACACAAGAAAAAAGCAGTGATCACTTCTTCCCATCTTTGAGAACAGAAGAACCCTTATTTTAAAATGTGTTCCATGGTGAACTTGTTTCTTGAGTCATCTTGTTTGTTTTGAAGCGGGGTTTCGCTATGTTCTTGAATTATGGTAGCACAGGCTAGCTTCAAACTCTAGTTCATCCTGTCCAGTGCTAAGATTAGAAGTGTGCTACCATACCCTGCTTCGTTTTCCTTTCAGTAAAACATTTATTAATTCATATTTATTTTATTTATAGCTATCATATTTTTATTCTGTTTTAAAGAGGTTAGAATGCTCGTGTATAAAACTATGCTAAGATTTGGTTCTTATAAAAGAAGGAAACTGGACTGGAAAGGTAGCTCGCCGCTTTTCCTGAAGACCTGAGTTCAGTTCCCAACACAGGCTTGAGATGCTTCGCGACCTTCCCTAACTCCAACTTCAGGGGGCTTAAGGCCCGTTTCTGACCTTCTTGGGCACCCCCATACTTACGGCAGACAGACACATAATCCATACACATGAATAGTAAAGACAAATCTTAAGAAATTTAAAATAAAAGGAAACTGAAACTAGGTTCTGAAAGCAAAATGAAAATGTAAGATCTTGAATTGTTCTAAAAGTGAGGATTTAAGATTTTCCCCGTCACAAATGAAGACAATTTGTATGTTAGTCCTACTACTGGGATTTATTAACTTCCACCCGGAAACCTTAACAGTAGTGACTTTGTTTATTTGTCTGTTTTCTGGTTTTTCCAGATGGGCTTTCTCTGTGTAACAGCCTGGCTGTCCTGGAACTCACTTGGTAGACCAGGCTGACCTCAGACTCACAGGGATCCTCCTGCTTCTGCCTCCCAAGTGCTAGGATTAAAGGTGTGTGCCCCACTATGCCCAGCCTTACATGATTTCCCGTAGATAAACACGTCTAGTAAAGGGCCTCATGCAAACACTGATACCACAGACTAAAGCACGTGTAGTAGCTATGGGCAGAGTAAAAAGAATTGGGAAAATTCAGGAGAGAGGTTTGCAGAAGAAACCTCTATAAACATTTGACCTGTGCAATAGGAGAAAGTGGTTCTCGTTGCCATTGTATTGTAGTAGCAAACGGTTAATTCCTAAATCATATTCTAATTTTTATAGTCCATTGTTTCTTTAAGACAGGTCTTAATATATAACCCTGGCTGCCCTGGAATGCACAAAAGTAATATGATATTGAAAACTCTGCTATGTACCCCGTCTTAGGTTTATCCCTCGGTTGTAGAGAAAAGCTCTTTGCTTTATGTGTGCTTAAAAATGTTTGCTCTTTTTATTTTGAAACCTCTTTATTATGCCTTTTTTTTTTTCTTAAAGAGATGGAGCCCTATTCCTGTGACACTTTTGTGGCCTTACCTCCAGCCACAGCTGGTAATAGGGTCATTTTTGGGAAAAATTCAGACAGACTCTTCGACGAAGTACAAGAAGTAATTTACTTCCCAGCTGCAGTGCACAATGATTTAAGCAAACGTCTTAAGGTAGGTTAAAAAAAATATGTTGTGTTAGCAATATCTATCTTTAAACACATCAATAATGAATACTCCTTTTTTTAAAAAATTTTATTTTATGTGTATGAATATTTTACCTGTATGTATGTTGGTGTGCCTAGTGCCCATAGAGGTCAGAAGAGGGTGTAGTATCCCTTGTAACTATGGGGAGCTGTGAGATGCCCTGTGGGTGCCAGGAACTGAGCCCTGGTTCAGTTACAAGAACCGCAGGTGCTCTTAACCACTGAGCCGATTCTCCAGACCCGTAAATGGTTCCTTCTCTCCCTAGCGACCACTGACGTTAAAAATTCAAGAATTTAAGTTTAGAAAAGGTTTGAATCGAAAATAGAGTTCTGGCCTCTTTATTTCAATAATTTAGAAGAAGCTGCTAAAATAATAAATATCATTATCTCTCTGATTGGATATCTGAATGCTTTTTATATGTTGTATGTGTTGGTTGTGATGAGGGATTTCAAGTCAGCTATTAAAACCTGGACGCGACCTTAGGCTGAGAGTGGCGAGTGGATGACGGATGCACTAAGGGCACGGAAAAGTCGGGCAGCTTAAATGCTGGCCTTAGGGGAGAGTAGCAGTCTGCGGCGGCAGAGAAGGAACATCTAGATTAAATTAGGGCTTACAGAGTGGGATTGGCGTGTTGGCTCAGTGCTTAAGAGCACTTGCTGTTCTCGCAGAGGACCCGGGCCACATCCATCCCTAACATAACTCCAGTTTCATAGTATCTGATGCTCTCTTCTGACCTCTGTGGGCAACAGGCACACATATGCATAGAAATGCATGCAAGCAAACATTCATACAACAAAATAAATTAAAAAAAAAAAGAATGATTTAGTTAGAGCTGGGGCTTCAGCTGACAGATCAAAAGGATTCTTCTCAGTATAGAATAAGAAAAAAATATTTCAGATTTTATAAATAACAGGTTTTTTTTTGTTTTTGTCCTATGGTGCTGAGGATCAAACCAAGGGCCTCTTCTATGTTAGACACATGACCTGCCAATTGAGCCACATTCTCAGCCCTATAAATATGTTTTGTAGTCCATCAAAAAAAAGTTTATTAGGTGTCTGATAATACCATCAACATGCATTTTATGTATTCCCCTCACCTCCTACATGCACATTAAATAATATTGCCTTTAATTTTTTTTATTTAAACAGTCTATTTACGTGGAACTCAAAGGTTTATATTATCTTCTGTTGTTATGAACTTTCTGGGTCCCTGATGTTCTAGCACTATTAGGCCTTAACTAGAAGGCTTTTTGTATCCTAGGCTGTAGTTTTCTTTTGCTGTAAATGTTGGTCCCCCTGGGACATCGTTCCTATTCCATACAAGCGTGTTTAGATCTACCCCATCATGTAAGACAGCTTCCCACCGCTGTGAGGAGTCCTCCTGGGTCTCTTCCACACGACATCCTCCCTACCTAAGGGTCTCAGGTACCTATGAGTGCGAAGATCACCGGTCAGGACGTACTAGAACCATGAACTTGAGAACCGCTTTCTTAATCTTCAGCTCATCTTAATTACTCTCCGTGAACCGGTTTGAAGATTAATAACTATCACTTCTGAGCTGCCAGGGCAACGCTGTTCACGCTCTTCCTGTCCTTCATACTCAGGGTTTGTTTGATCTCAGTTGATGGAGAAGTCTCTGTTTCTTAAAGGAAGCTTCGTGTTCCTGTATCTTTGTAACCGACTTGCCTTAGCAGGATGTATTATAAAGGACATACCCAGAAAGTATTTAAGCAATAAATGCTTTAGAGTCGATTCTGAATGAATTTTGAAGTTAGTGCTTTTATTATTGAAAATTTCAACGTGGTTCCATTTCATCCACCTTCATCGCGATCATGTCTTCCCAACGGTGTTTTAAATTCTGGAATTTGGTAACTCTCCACTTTGGATTTCATAGTTACATGCCTTTTTTTTTTCTTTTTAACAGTGTACTTACATAGAAATTGACCAGGTGCCTGAAACATATGCTGTTGTCCTTAGTCGCCCAGCTTGGTTGTGGGGGGCAGAAATGGGAGCCAATGAGCATGGAGTCTGCATTGGGAATGAAGCTGTATGGGGAAGAGAGGCCATTTCTAAGGAGGAAGCACTTTTGGGCATGGATCTTGTCAGGTAACTAGTATGCTGCTTCCTTACTATAGAATGTAGTTTCTGTCCCGCCCAGCCCTGCGGCCATTCAGTCCCAGAGAAACACACAGAGGCTTATATTAATTACAAGCTGTTTGGCCTATTATCTCAGGCTTATCATTAGCTAGTTCTTATAACTTAAATCAACCCATAATTCTTGTCTGTGTTTAGCTTGGTACCTTTTCTCAGTGCAGCATTCTTGCTTCCTCTGCATCTGGCTGGTGACTGACTCTCTGCCTTTCCTCTTCCCAGAATTCTCCTTGTCTGGCTTCCCCTCCTATTCTTCCCTCCTGGCTACTGGCTGATCAGCATTTTATTAAACCAATATGAGTGACAAATCTTTACAGTATCCACAGCAACAGATTATGTAAGAAATAACTGAATACCAGTCACATGTATTTTCACACCAGCATGCAATTTCACGACTCTTAAATATCACTAATCCATCTAGGGTGGATGGCTCAATCCATACACTGTTTACTGAAGAAGCGTGAGGACCTCAGTTTGATCTCTGGCACTTATGTGCACCTGTAATCCTGCACTGGAGAAGCAGAAGCAGGCAGATTCCTGGGCTTGCTGGGTTGCTAGTCTAGCTTCATTGGTAAATTCCAGTTCACTGAGAAGCCCTGCCTCATAAAATAAAGTGGAATGCAATTGAGAAAACTGTCGGACATCAGCCTCTGGCTTCTCAGTGCATGCTTGCATGAATGCATACCCTAGTCTGGCTTCTCGGTGCATGCTTGCATGAATGCATACCCTAGTCTGGTTTCTCGGTGCATGTTTGCATGAATGCATACCCTAGTCTGGCTTCTCAGTGCATGCTTGCATGAATGCATACCCTAGGCACACACCCACGTAAACATGTATATGCACTACACAAACACCTGCTGACACTTATGCACACCTATGCACATCATAAATTGGTGAGGAGCCAAAATTAGAAGTTATAATTAATCAGAAATGCCTGAATTGCTTTATTACATGGTTGACTAATCCCTTCACTTTATAGAGACATATCAGTCTTAGACATAAAATAGCTTTGCAATAAGTTACTGAGATGAAAGTTGACTCCAAAAATGTTTTCACTGTCCCAAACTGCCTTCAAAAGTGTGACTTTAAAGGTTTTACTTTACATATTAACTTGTTCTTTTTTTTTAACATTGAATGTAGCAAACATGGCGTTTCTTGAACATGAAGTTAAGATGAATAAAGGAAATTGTTTTTAATTTGAGATCCTTAATATTTTTATTTTAGACTTGGCCTTGAAAGAGCTGATACAGCTGAAAAAGCTCTCGATGTCATTGTCGACTTATTAGAAAAATATGGCCAAGGTGGAAATTGTGCAGAGGGTGAAGAATTTAGCTATTACAACAGTTTCCTGATAGCGGATAGGAATGAAGCTTGGATTCTGGAGACGTCAGGGAAGTACTGGGCAGCAGAGAAAGTCCAAGGTATGAACAACTTTGCAATTTGGTTTATATAATTAATAAAATAGATCTTTAACCGTAGCTAAAGCATTTATTTGCTTTTCAAGAATTATAATCCGTTGCATTAAAGGATAAACCGCAGAGCAAAGTTAAAATTAGGAAGAACATAAAGGGAGAGAGAACTATGATGAGAAGTCTTACAAAAAAATAAGCACGCAGCATTGTCTACGCAGCAGCTTTTGGCTGTTTGTAGTGTTTTTTTTTTTGTTTGTTTGTTTTTTTCTCTTTTTAACAACTACTTTTCTAACTTTGGACTGAATTCCAGAACTGTACCATATGTAAATACAGAGGTAAAGAGGAGGGGGTTGGTCTGGGCATGGGTGACTCTGGGCCAGTGTTTAGAGTGTATGGACACAGCAGTAAGACAAAATGATGCCCTTGACTGTATCAGTGCAGTCTGATGGCTTTGGAGCTGATTGTCCCCATGATTTATTTGTGCTCAGATATTCCTCTTATTTCTGTGTGTGTGTGTGTGTGTGTGTGTGTGTGTGTGTGTGATATGCATACATGTCTCTATGTGTGTGGGGCGGGTACACATGGCCACTCTGTACAAGTGAAGGTCAGAGGACAACCTCTGGTGACTCAGTGTCCTCTTGTGGTAGGGTCCCTATTATTTGCTGCTCCTGCGCATGCCTGGCTAGCTGATCCATGTGATCTGGTGATTTTCCTATATTATCTTCCGTATCACCACAGAAACTCTGGGATAAAAAACACTGCTACCGCCCTCAACTTTACATGAGCCCTGGGGATATGAATTCAGATAACCCATTAAGCTCTCCCTGCAGCCAGTTCTCTTCATTTCAAGGGAAGAAATCCAGAGATGGAAAGCAACTTAAAGCAGCGAGGGGAAGTCTCTTCACCCCATTCTCAGTGCGCTGTTTTGTGGATAGAGGACATAGTCGCATGCTTCTTGTGTGCTTCTGTATTGATTTCCTAGTTTGACAGAAGAGATGAGAGCCGCATGTAAAAATACTAAATGGAGGTTAGCTCAGTTGTATTGTGCTTGTCTGGCATAAAGCAAGTCCTGGTTAATCACCAGCATTGCACAAAGCTGAGAATGGTAGCCCATTCCTGTAATCCCAACATCTGGGAGGCATAGAGGTAGGGGGCTCAGAAGTTCAAGATCACTGCCACTCTGAGGTGGTGGTGCACACCTTTAACTTCAGCCCTCAGGAGGCAGAGGCAAGCAGACCTCCAAGTTCAAAGCCAGCCTGGTCTACACAGCAAGTTCTAGGATAACCAGGGCAACACAGAGAAACCCTGTCTGGAAAAAGTAAAACAAACAAACAAAAAAATAGATGATTGTCTACTTCATACATACTTTGAGTCCAGCCTCGGCTCTAGGTAATCTGCCTCAATTAATCAGTTAGGTAACTAGTTAATTGAGTAGATGATGTTGATCCATGGGCGCTGTGAACATGAAAGAAAGGAAAAGTCACTGTGAACTTCCTGAGGCGTCCAGAAAGACTTCAGGAAGAAGCCTGCTGTGGAAGATCAGTCTGTTCTTTTTCAAAATAGGCCATTGCCAGTTATTTTCATGGACTTCAAAAGTAGTTTGTATATTTTTATGTTTGGCATTTTCTATGCTTTAATAAAATATATAAAATTATATTTAATGTATTTAATTATTATAAATAATAATGCTAACTGAACTGATTATATCATTGACCACTTTTTCTTTTATTAAACATGCTATGGAAAGACAAAGGAATGTATAGTATTGAAAACGGCCTTACCTAGCCATGGATAACGAGCGTCTTCCCGGGTCTGATTAGCCTGCTGAGATCACCTTGCTGCTGCCTTCTCTTTCTCTTACTGTATGATCTCAAGAACTAGATGGTCCTTTTGAGTATCCACAGCACAGACGTGATACATCCTTCTGGCCATTGCGTAGTCTATGTGTGTGTTGAACTGCTAAACAAAGTGTCACACGTCATACCGTGAGATACTACTAGTAATAAGGAAATGGTGAAGTGTTGATAGCGTGTTGAGTTGAATTATCCTGAGGTAGAAAGACCAAAAGGCAGGGCAGCAAGATGGCCCAGCAAGTAAGGGTGCTTGCCGCCAGCCCTGACAACCTGAGTTTGATCCCCAGAGCACAGGGTAAAGGGTGCCTGTGTGCACATACACACAAGAAAGCAAATGTACATTAAAAAAGTTTAATAATTAAAAAAAACATAAGGCTATTCACTGTATATTTCACTTAGGTAACATTCTTTAAAAATGTTATTTGTGTGTATGTGGACATGGATGCTATGACACATGTGTGGAGGTCAGAGGACACCTTTTGAGAATTAGTTGCCTGTTTCCAGCATGTGGGCTCTGGGGTTTGGATTCAGATGGTCAGGCTTGTGGCAAGTGTCTTTACCCACTGGGCTACGTTACCTGCCCCTATGTAATATATGACACTGAGTTATATTAGAGTAAAAAAGTACTAAGTGCCCAGAGTTAATGAATTATTAGAATTAGGAGATTCATGGCTTTGATATGAAAGAGTAACAGGGTATAAATATTCTTTTTCTTGACATTATCAATACCAATGTTCTGGTTATGATCTTCTTCTATACTTTTATAAAATGTGGTGAGTGGAACTGGAACCATAATGAGTGTATAGTCTCTCCGGCTTACTTCACATAACTGCATCCGAGTCTACAGTGACCTCAAAGTTTCATTTTAAAATTTAATTGTTTAGACCATGCAGGAGATGTCCATGGCAGAAAACTTACATTACGTCTAAACAGCGATTTAAAAATCATAATGTAGAGAGAGATTCTTCCTGTTCAAGGTAACTTTTTTTCTCCTTCCCATCCTTCGAAACAGGAGTTCGTAATATTTCCAATCAGCTCTCCATAACAACCAGGATCGACCGGGAGCATCCGGACATGAGGAACTATGCTAAGCAGAAAGGCTGGTGGGATGGCCGGGAGGACTTTGATTTTGCTGCAGCATACTCTTATATCGACACAGCTTCAATGATGACGTCACCAAGCAGATACTGTCAGGGCTACAAGCTTCTGAATAAGCACAAAGGTAACTTTAGCATTTAAATAATGAAAAAATGAATTTTATGAAGATATAATCTTATACTTAATAAAAAATAGTTTGAATAAAACAGCATCAGGATAATGTAAGCTATTTTTTGATATGTGTGAAGTAGTAAACCGTTGTGAGAACGCACTGATTCTTTCTGAGGGTCAAGTTCAGATTCTTAATCCTCAGAAACATTTTTCTTTTTTCTTTTTTAAAGTTTTATTTGTTTATTTATTTTGTTTACAGTGTTCTGTCTCCATGTGTTCCTGCAGGCCAGAAGAGGGCACCAGATTTCATTACAGATGGTTGTGAGCCACCATGTGGTTGCTGGGAATTGAACTCGGGACTTCTGGAAGAATAATCAGTGCTCTTAACCTCTGAGCCTTCTTTTCAGCCCCCACATTTTTCTTTTAAAAAAACTATTTGAACCAGGATTTCACTATACATTTCTGACTGGCCTAGTATTCACTCTATAGACCAGACTGATCTTGGAACTCACAGAGATCTGTGTGTCTCCGTCTTCTGAGTGCTGGGCCATCACACCTGGCCATACTGCTACTTAATTAGTTTTAACGGTAGTATTTCTGTTTGTTTATATGTTTTGTCTTATTTTGCTTGTGTGTGGCTTTCTATATGCTCACATCTGTGTTCAGGTGTGCAGACCCATGGTTGTGCGTTCGGAGGCCTGAGGTTTGATGTTTAATGTCTTTTTCAGTGGCTGTTTCAAAGTCTCTCATTGAACCTGGAGCTTCCCTTTTTAGCTAGGCTGGCTGGCCAGAAAACTCCTGAGAGCTGCGGTTACCGGTGTGAGCTGCCACCCCTGGCTTTGATCTGGGTGCTGGGGATCCAAACTCAAAGCTTGCAACAAGTACTTTCCCAGAGAGCCATTTCTCCAGCCCATGTGTCTCAGTCAGCGTTCTGTGGCTGTGCAGAAACCATGACCAAGCCAATTCTTACAGAAGAAAGCATTTAACTGGGGACTGGCTTACAGTTTCAGAGGGGTCAGTCCACAGTCATCATGGTGGGCAGTGAGGTGGCATGCAGGCAGGTGTGATGCTGGAGAAGTAGCTGAGCTTTACATCCTAATCCCCAGGTAGGAAACAGAGAGAGACTGGGAGTGGTGTGGGCATTTGAAACCTCAGTGCCCACTCCAAATGCCTCCTAATGCTTTCCAAACAGTTCATTCACTGTGGTCTATCTAGTTAAGACTGCCTGAATCAGACTTTAGCCAACCCTGTTTTTAAAGTCGGATTTAATTTTTCATTACTGGAAATTATGTAGCCTGTTTGTAGCTTGTTTATATTACACTGTGGTTTCCATCCTGGAATGAGTTTTCTTTTTTTTTGGTTTTTCGAGACAGGGTTTCTCTGTGGCTTTGGAGCCTGTCCTGGAACTAGCTCTGTAGACCAGGCTGGTATCGAACTCACAGAGATCCGCCTGCCTCTGCCTCCCGAGTGCTGGGATTAAAGGCGTGCACCACCATCGCCCTGCCCTGGAATGAGTTTTTGCAGGAAGACCGTGAGGTTGGAAATCTATGCGCATTATGTATTTATTCATTGACCATATACATTTTAAGACTTGAAACCTGGTGGGAAAGTCAGAAATCTTCATTAATTCGGATTTCCACCAGCAATATTTGAATGCCAATTTCTAATATGCTTATCAATTTAGAACATTACTTTTTTCTACTCACGCAAATTTACAGGCAAAATTAGCATATTATCTCTAATAAATGATTAGAGATATCATTTATTAATGATATTAGACACTTTTATATTTATCAAAAAATTGTGATTTTCTATAAATTGCTTATTTATTATGTTATTTTTTCCCCCGTTTTTATTTTGGATTACTACTGACTCTTAAAAAATAACCTCTAGTGAGGCATGGTTGTGCAATCTTTTAAGCTTAGTGCTGAGAGACAGAGAGAAACCGAGGATCTCTGCTTTTGACAACAATCTGGTCTGAGTTTCAGGCCAACTAGGGCTACACAATGAGACTCTGTCTCCAAAAACAAAACGAAACAAAAACCAAAAGAACTTCCAATATACCTTTCTTTACTTGTTACCAAGTAATTTCAGCAAAGTGCTTTTAATTTAGATTACTGAGTGCAGGTGATTCCAAAAGGGTGATTGTAATGAGAATATGTAACTGATCTACTTTATTCACTTGGAGAATAGTAATAATGATTTTTTTTTGAGGTGGGGTCTCACTGTGTATTTCCAGCTGCTCTAGAAGTTGGTCTGTAGACTGGGCTAGCCTGGACCTCACAGAGATCCGTCTGCCTCTTTCTCCCAAGTGCTGGCATTAAAGGCCTGGACCACCATACCCAACCTGTATAAAATATGTCTATAAGTAGTCAGGAAGCAATTACTGAGAGATGGATCAGTGATTGGCATTTGCCTTTAGATATTCATTAAATCAATTAACCTTATGTTAGCTATTTGGTATGGCAAAATAGTTTGTGGCAGAACATTCTTGGAACAACTTAACTTTCTTTTCAGGGTATTTATTATCTTAGGGTACTTTAATATCCAAAAGAATGTCTTCTAATTTAAGGTTTCCTATGAAGTTTTTCAGTGTAAGTTTGACATTTTACAAATATTTAACAACCCCCCCCCTTGTTGGTAAAGTGCTTGGCAAATTCACGAGGGCACGGATTGAGATCCCCGGCACCCACATGAAAAACGGATGTGGCAGTATGTGCCTATAATCCCAGTGGTGGAGGTTTTGGGGCTCAGCGGCTAGCTGGTCCAGCTGGATCAGTCTCAGAACAGAGGAAGATACCTGATGTTCACCTCTGGCCTCCTCTGCGTGCACATGTGCACCCCTGCTAGTGCACAGCCACCCAAGCCTCACAGAATGGAGATGAGCAATATATAATCAGAACGGAAAGGAATGAACCAGGTCTGAGGCCTGAGGCCTGAACAAGCCTTGAGGACTCAGCATTTGGTAGCTGAGGGGGAAGACCCAGACAAGTTCCATACCTGACCTGTATGGTGAAACTGTCTCAGAGAAACAGTATAGAAGGAAAATGTCAAGACTCCCAAGGTTGAGGGTAACTGGACCCAGCAAAGAAAAACAAAATAATTAATGTTAAAAATTAATTAGCTACCACACTGAAGTACTGCCGTACTGAACTGTAAGATAATGGAATCACAGACCCGAAATGCACGCGTGAATATAGCAACGGATGCATCCGACACAGACTTCAATCCCGTCAAGTGTGATGTGCAATCCACCCAGTTTTCTACGCTTTGTCAAAAGAGTAAATGTCTTTCCAGTAGTTCCATACGAAATTGTCCACTGGGATATTAGGTTTAAAATTTGCTATGATTTTTCTAGATAAAAGAGCCTACTTCCCTTCTTTCCATCCGTCCCTACCTGATGGCTATTAAGTGTGCTGCATGTATACCCAAATTGTATCTATATTCACACGTGTGTTTTAAGTAACCAGTCTAAATTGCTGTGAAATTGCACCCTGCGCTTTGCGTTCACTTTGCTGCACCTTCCGCCGCTGGCTCGGTACTTATTCAATGCCTGCTAGTGGGTTACTTACAGCCGTCCTGCTCGAGTGGCCATGCAAATCCTCCTTTCATTTTAAGAATTGTAGGTTTTGAATCCTGAAAACATTTCTATAATACCTATATTATCACAGTGTTACAGCTCTGACATTGTGTTTTTTTTTTTTATTAAAACTTGCCATTTAGAGGAATTTAGACCCGAATCATTTTTAAATCTCACTAGATGCTGAAGCATTGTGCCTGATAGATGGGTGTGAATGGTAGGGTTTTGCTTTATTGTTGAGTTTAATATCAAGGGCTGAGTGTAGCTGTACCCCTCTCTTCTCCCCAGTGTTATTCAGGATTCACTGAAAACGGTACAGCACAGCTTTGCTAACAAGTTTCTGTAAGTTCAGCCAGGTATTTTTTGAACTTGAAATCATGGCTCTGTTATGAAGGAACTAGGTAAGAGCATGCATATGTGCATAAAACCCATTGCCATTAATATAAAACGGCTGGTCGCGGCATCTTTAACAGCAGGCCATTAGATTCTTTCCTATGAAAGAATTTCCTTTTTCGTTGAAGCATCAGAAGTCATAATTTGGATCCAGACTTGCTGTGAACTTTTTTTTTGATCCCCATATTGGGGGGGGGGCGTGCTGACCTTTTAGATTGTCTATGAGTTAACCCAGAGCCGGGGTTATACTGGGTGTATACTAAGCACACACACCATATTAAAATTAAAATATGCTTCCAGCCCCAATTACCGCAGGGTTTCGTGAAAAAGAAAAACCTGTCGTCAGTTGCCCATAGGTAAATGAAGATTATTTGTTTCTTTAGAACTAATACGACTTTAATACAATAATTAAACATTTCCAACTAACATATCCTAGTGTATCTAATGGCAGAAAATATATTTTACCTTTTTCCAATTTAACTAAAATTTAATTTTATTATTTGTCTCCTGCCCCTCCTGTGTATGGCCTCCTCTTCTTTAATCGTTGTTGCACATAAATGTATGTAACAATATAACCCGCCGAGCTCCTTCAGTGTTGCCCACGTGTATCTGTTTCTAGGACTGCCCACCTGCTGTTGGGTAACCAGCTGGGGCTCATCCCTGTGGAAGATTGGCAGTCGTTAGTTACCTGTAGCTCTTTATCTAGGGGATAGGGCCCCCATGAGATTCCCTCCGTCTATATCAGGGTCAACTGTTGGAATTATTCAGGTCTTGTTTAGGCAGCCATGTTGTTGATAGAGGGTGCAGTCTCACCGTAGGCTTCCTGGTCCTCTGCTTTGAAATCTTTCTTCCCCTTTCGTGATGTTCTCTGCGCCTTGGATACCAGAGCCGTGTTGTAGTTCCATCAGCTGTGGCTGGGCACCCTACAGCGCATCACCCATTCTGCTGTTCTCTGCATTTTGAGTATCTTTCTGTAACGGTCTCTTGCTGAAATCTACACTTATGGTGGATAGAAAGGTACACGTATAGAGTGCAGTTGGGGTTTATGCTGGGTTAGGAAAGCGGGGGCAGTGGGGTCTCTGGCGTCTGTTGCCTCGCTAGCCGTGGAGTTAGCAGGATTTCCCTGCTGCTGAGGAGGTTTGAGTCTAATTAGGCAGTTGCCACGTAGCCGGGTAAGACTTCTGATTGCTTTGCTCCCTTAGCCGTTTGCAGAGTAGCTTCTGGTAATATGAAAGAAAGCTCGTCTCAGGGAGGAGGCTTTTGAGTTAGCTCCAGCTCAAATATGCTGAGTCCTTTGTCCAAACTGTGTGTTGTCTTCAGCAATAGGGACTGATCTTCGATTTCTGGGCGGCAATCACTGGCAGCAACAGTAGGCTGGATCGCTTGGGGGAATCTCTTGTAATCCTCTAAAAACAACTTGAAAGCAGGTCTCTCCTACCTGTTACTGGAATGGGGATTTTGTTAGTCTGCGGCTCTTGAGTAACAGGAGGCTGACTTATCTGATAAACGAGAAGTATGTTGGTGGGACGGTTAAAGGCTTACTGTTGGCTGGAGATAAGTGCCTGGCATTAGACTGCAAGTCCACTGCTTAAAGGCATGAATCAGCACCCCCGAGGCATGAATCAGCACCCCCAAACAACTTAGATGAAGGCGGTTAAGAAAAGACCATTCTAATGCTTTGGATGAACCTTTTCTTTCTCTTACTTTTCAGTCTTTCATTTTAGATAGTGAATCCAGGACTTTGTGCCTGTTAGACACTGAGATACATCCTAGCCCAACAACTCAACGTCCTGTGTAATACTTTAGAGGTAGTGTGATGAACATACTCTCACCCCCACCACCATTTTGGCGCTAGAGAATCAATACTAGTGTGTATTATTTTATTAATAGAGAAAAGCTTATGTTTATAAAATATATGCATTATTTGATGGGTTTTACACTTATTTCCTCAGGAAACATAACTTTCGAAACAATGATGGGGATTCTTCGAGATGAACCAAGTGGCATCAATATGAAGGGAGAATTCCTGAGCACCGCAAGCATGGTTTCTGTTTTACCTCGAGATTCCAGCCTGCCTTGCGTTCACTTCTTTACGGGGACTCCACATCCTGAGAGGTGAGGTCCCCCAAATACTGCAAACCACCAAGAGATCATGGGGTAGGGCACAGTCATTAGTGTGTAGATGAATTTGTTTAAGCAATTACTTCTTTCTAAATTTTTCATTTTGTGTGTGTGTGTGTGTGAGAGAGAGAGAGAGAGAGAGAGAGAGAGAGAGAGAGAGAGAGAAATGTGCAGGTGACTGTAGAGATCTGAAGCATTGGATCCCTGGAGCTGGATTTGCAGGTGGTTGTGAGCTGCCCAGTATGTTGGGAACTGAGTACGTGTCTTACACTGAGTCATCTCTTGAGGCTTTAACTATAATAATGCATTGTCTGTGTGGATTTTAGTTTGCAGTCTCTCTGTGTATATAATGGTTCTCATTTTTACAGAAGGTTAACGGGTTCTTGTATGTGGTTATCCTGATTGGCTGTGGGATAATACTCCTGTGCACTGTAAAGATTTGTCACTTGAATTGGTATAATAAAATGCTGATTGGCCAGTAGCCAGGCAGGAAGTACAGGCAGAGTCAGAGAGTCACCAGCCAGCTCTTTGGGGGCCTGTCACCCAGGTTTCAAATAAATACACAGAGACTTATTGAGTGCCTGACCTTAGCTTGACTTGTTTCTAGCCAACTTTTCTTAAATTATCCTGTCTACTTTTGGCCTCTGGGCTTTTATCTTTCTCTATTCTATAACTCTTTCTTTGTTTCTTTTGAGCCTAGATTTCTCCTATTTATTCTTGCTGCCTGGCAGCCCCACCTATCCCTCTCCTGCCTAACTATTGATCGTCCAGCTCTTTGTTAGACCAATCAGGTGTTTTAGGCAGGCCAAGTATCACAGCTTCACAGAGTTAAATAAATGCAATATAAAAGAATGCAACACATATTTGCATCATTAAATAAATATCCCACAGCTTAAATGAATGTAACACATCTTAAAATAATATTCCACAACAGGTAGGATCCAATTAGAGTATATGCATTATTATTAGAAACCTCAATTAGAAGAAATCTAGGAAGACACAATAATTGTTAGGGTTTTTTTTACATGCAAATTCAATAAAAACCCTTTCTTCTAGGTCTGTTTTTAAGCCTTTCATATTTGTACCACATATTTCACAACTGTTCGATACGCAGTCACCAACATTTGAACTTGAAAGGCCCCTGGCAAGGAAGCCATATGTCAAGCCTGACAGAAGACACCCACTCTACCAAAAACATCAACAGGCCTTGGAAGTGATAAGTCACAATAAGGTATGGTTGGGTTATATTCTCTGTTGTCACATCAAGGATAGTTTAAGGTGTAATTCAATTCATATTTGGAGTATTAGGTTTCTTTCCTTAATGTAAAGAACTCGGTTAGAAACAGCGACTAGGTTTGACCTTTGGCTGTAATGTGTATGTTGTAGGCCGGATAGCAGTGTTGTACACCTTCAATCCCAGCACTTGGGAGGTGGCTCTCCGTGAGTCTGAGGCCTAGCCTGATCTATAGAGACAGTCTCAGGACCGCCTGGACTACACAGAGAAACTCTGTCTCAAAAAACAAAGACTCTTTTAGAAAAATTTTTAATTCTGAACATAACAAAAGCTAACAGTGGGGCTGGAGAGATGGCTCAGAGGTTAAGAGCACTGACTGCTCTTCCAGAGGTTCTGAGTTCAATTCCCAGCAACCACATGGTGGCTCACAACCATCTGTAATGAGATCTGGTGCCCTCTTCTGGCCTGTAGGCATACATGGAGGCTGAACACAGTATACATAATAAATAAATAAATCTTTAAAAAAAAAGCTAACAGTTACAGAACACTTATTATATATAAGTACAACCACTTTATGAGGAAGATAATATTATTCTGTCAAGATTCTGAGACCCAGGGAAGTTGCATAATTTTCTTAGTACACACTCCACACGAGAAAGGTCTCCGAAGGGCAGCTAATCTGGTCTTTCTATATGATGCCTGACTCCTGCGGCCCCACACAGAACTGAAAGTGATTTAAGGTCTTTGGTCACCTGGCATGTCTAAGTCCCCAGACCCAATGCCTCATAGTGCCAAAACCGAAATACAACTAGAAAAAGTGATTAAGATTTTATAGATGTAAAATTATGAGCTGGGTTTTTTGTTTGGGTTTTGGTTTATTGTTTTGCTAAGAGACAGGAGCTCACTGTATTTTCCTGACTAGCCTGGAATTTATGGTGTAGACCAGGCTGGCCTTGAACTCACAGGGATCCACCTGCCTCTGCCTCCCAAGTGCTGGGATTAAAGGCATGTGCTGCCACGCCCAGCTAGTGTTTTGTCTTAGTTTTTTTTTGTTGTTGTTGTTACAAGAATAATAGATGCTCATTATTTTAAAACTTGAAGCATTATAGAAAAGCAGTATATCACTTGAAATAGCATGTCCAGAAATTGACACACATTTAAATTGAAACAGATTGAAAGATAATTTTATAATAGGCCATACCTCTTCACTTCTCCTTAGCCTTTCCTCCCAACTCTGGAGAGAGAAAAAAAAAGACAGATTAAAAAGCGAATGGGCACGCTGTCTAAAGGCAGGCATCCAGTCATCCCAGTAGGAAGATCAGCTATCTTGTGTGTTTCTCATCTGTCCCTCTCCACCACTAAGGTGACCCCAACCTCTTTGTACTTTCCAAGATAAGGGCTCATTAAGTTGCCCATACTGGTCTTGAAGTCTCTACAACTTAGGCAGAGCTTGAAGTTTTGATCCTCCCGCCTCATCTCCAGAGCCGCTGAGATTACAGGCCGTCTGGCCCTTGTGCTTTCTTCATTCTCCTTAGCAATACATGCTGGAGTGTCCGTCCGGTCCATTGATCCACCGGCATAAATCCTTCACTGCTAATGATAGCACTGACGTGTTTGCAGCCTTTCCCCATAAAACTGCTTTAGGAGGTAGGCTTTATGACAGAATTAAGTATTTGGTAAACGAAGTTGAATTGGTTTAAAATCTCCTACTGGTTTAGGCTCTAATGAACATTATTGGTTGACATTATAAAGAAACGGAAGATAGTGGAACTTGAGGGACATGTCATAGAGCTGGGGTCTGCCTCTTTAAACAGCTACTTCTGTGCTGTAAGGAGAGTCACTAACGCGACACCTTTCATTTGCACATCTTGATTACCAGAGAGACTGGAACTCTTACCGTCAGTTTCTCCTCAGTGATTTCGCTGTTTCTTTTCCCTTAGTTTATTTATTGATTTTGAAAGTCTTCTGATTTTAGTCAAGAGGCAAAAATATGAATATTAACTAATACATATGTAAATGAGCATATATATTAAAGATAGGCTCTTACCGTATTGCCCAAGTTGGACTCCCACTTTTGAGTCTCCTGCCTCGGTCTCCAAGCAGTGGAACCGCAGGTGAAGACCGCCATACCCACCATGCTTCTTTCCAAGTCAGTTAACTGACGCTAAACATCTTAATTTAGTCGGTTGTATTTGTTTTCATTCTTTAACGCACCTGCTTTGCCTCATATCAAATCATTTTTCTGTATTTTATTTCTGTTATATATGGTTTTTAAATGCTTTTTAATTTTTTGTGTGTATGTATATAAATATGCATATGGGCATACATATGCTACAGTGTGTCTCTCTGTCTGTCCGTCTGTCTTTCTGTGTTAAGCCAGAGTCAGTTTTTAGGAGTTGGTTCTCACCCTTGACTACATAGGTCCTGGGGATAGAACCTCAGGTCCAGGCTTGGTGGCAAGGACCTTTACTTACTAAGCCAACATATGTGTGCCTTTAAAAAATCCTTAATTCTCTGCCGGGCAGTGGTGGCGCATGCCTTTAATCCCAGCACTCGGGAGGCAGAGGCAGGCGGATCTCTGTGAGTTCAAGACCAGCCTGGTCTACAAGAGCTAGTTCCAGGACAGGCTCCAAAGCTACAGAGATACCCTGTCTCGAAAAACAAACAAAAACCCTTAATTCTCTAGGACTGGTTAAAATGGCTCAGCAGGTGAAGGCATCTACCCCCAAGACTAATGGCTTGGGTTCAGTTCCAGGACCTACATGGTAACAGAAAAAATCAACTCCTAAAAGCTGTCCTCTGACTTCCAGGCAAAGGGTGGTAGCACATCAACACACACACACACACACACACACACACACACACGTACACAAATGCACACAAATAGATACCTGAATCTGGAGCAATGATTTTCCCCAAAGAAAACCATTCTTTTTTCTTCTTTTTCTTCTTCTTTTTTTTTTTATTACTTTTGTGTCTACAGAATAGAAAAATAACCAAATAAGTAGAAACCAGAATAAATAAACCTTGTCAGAGGATTGGAATTTTGTTAGATTCGTGTATGTGTATTTACTTTTATCATTTTAATTAGGAAAAAAGCAAGACAATGCTGGAAAACATGAGGAAGCTGGAAAAAGAAGTGTTTGAGGAGATGGAATCAGTTCTCCAAAGCAAACATCTTGACGTGGATAAAACTGTTAATCTCTTTTCTCAATGTGTAAAAGATGAAATTAAAATTTATCAGTCAAATATTAGCTCTTAATGATATATACATGGTCAAAAATCTTCCCCATTGCCCTGATAAATGGATACAAAGGTACTTTAAGGAGATCTGATCTTTTCTTCATAATACTAAGTGACATTCTGACTGTTAAAGTCACAGTAATGAGTATTCAGTTGCAAAAAGCACAAAACATTAACATGATACATAGGCTATTTTATTATATTCCATAGTGCCCTTCAGGCATTTTCTCAGTTAAGAAAGCTCGGAGCTTCTTATTGAAAAAAAAGCAATGGGAAGTATGTCAAGTGAGTTTTTGTGCTTTAGGCAAATAATAACCAGCCTTAGAAAAATTAGAAAACTGTCTGAAGTCTAATGCCGCATCCCCTCAGAACTGTCTTTCTGTTCTCTTGGAAGTTTTCCTCTCTCAGAATGCGGTGCGGCTGGAGTCTTAGAGGCGTGTCTTTTCAGATTGGCTCCTCCCACACAGCTTTCTCCACGCCTCTGCTGCCATAGCTCATTTCTTCTGAGCGTGGAATCTGCCTTTCTGTGGGTGTGTCACCACTGAAGGGCATCTTGGTTGTTTCCAGACTTGGGCAATTGAGAGTAAAGTGTGCAAGTGACTGTATAAGTTCTGAGTGTTCAGCCCATTCAGGTTAGGGCCGAGGCAACCGTAGAGCCATCTTCCAGATGCTGCCATTTCTGCCCCCTTGAGCCCATTGTTTCCTTCCCAGCTAGTTGTCAGTGTGTGGGGATTTGGCCATTCTAATAAGTGTACGGTTTTTCACTTCTTTAGGTAACAGGGATTGATCCTATAACCTTGTACTTCCTTTTTCAGTTGAATTTGTAATTCCAAATGGTATATGACGCTGAGGTACATTTTGAACGCTTATTTCCATTTGTACATTTGATGGGGTGTCTGGGTCTTGGCCCATTCTATAATCAGATGCTTCTGATTTACTTATTTTACTTGGGAGTCTACCCTTTTTCTTAGCCTTTAAATTTTTACTTTATATGTATGAGTGTTTTGTTTCATGTATGTCTGTGTACCAGGCACATGCCTGGTGTCGTCAGACGGTATGAGATCCTCTGCAACTGGAGTTTCAGATGGCTGTGAGCCGCCGTGTGGGTGCTGGGCACCAAACCCAGGTCCTATGCAAGAACAACAAGCAACTCTTAACCACGATCCACTCTCCAGCCCCTCCCACCGCTCAAGTCTAAAACTCTTAAAGCTCGTTGTTCTTAGGATAAAGCCTCAATCCTTAACACATCTGCCCTTTTTATATATTACTGCACGTTTGCTATTGATTTTTGTTTCAACGATGGTGGTCTTTCAGGTCCTTACATGCGCATTCCTGCCCCATGGCTGCTCCCTCTGCTTGCTCCTTCCATTTCCGTGAGTAGTTCTCTTCATCTTTAGAGCTTGCTGGCAAATGAGCTTCTTAGGATTATATTAATTAATTATACATTAATTATATTAATCATACATTTAAAATTAATCCAAATTAATCATACATTTAATTATTTCACAGAAAAAGTTCCATGAAGGCCCATTGTTCAATATTATGTTTGGATGCTTTGGTATTATATAATACTTATTAAAGGAACAAATACTGGTGAAAAGAATGTATACAGACCTTTCTACAGAAATTTAAAGTTATTTATCTGTATAACTTGGTAGCCTCCTAAGTTTGAACCCTAGAAAAATTCAAGGATTATAAGGCTATGTGAGTTGATGTATAGAGATTGTTATTGTGTATGTATACAACAGGATATTTGAGATGTGAGCGCTCATGTTGGTAATTAATGCCTTGTGTATATTAGAAATTTTAGTATTTTCTTAAATTTCATCTGTTGTAAGAGTAAAAATAATAAACTTAGTTATTTTACATAAAATTGGCTTATTTGATCTTTGATGAAAATATAAGCTTATATATTAATCTCTAATACATTTCCTTAAAAATAATTATACAGAGTGAAAGTTTGGAAGCAGAGTTTCTCTTTGTAAAAGTATTGGTTGGCTGGGTTTTTTGAGACAGAGTTTCTCTGTATAGCCTTGGTTGTCTTGGAACTCACTCTGTAGTCCAGGCTGGACTCGAACTCAAGAGATCTGCCTGACTCTGCCTTTTGAGTGTTGGAATTAAAGGCATGTGCCACCACCGCCTGACTAATTCTAAACAGAATTTTACAAAATACTTTTGCAATGTTGGCCCACACCTTTAATCCCAGCACTCAGGAGGCTGAGGCAGTGGGAACTGTGAGTTCGAGGCCAGCCTGGTCTACAGAGCAAGTTCCAGGACAGTCAGGGCTGCACAGAGAGACCTGTCTCGATAAAAAACTGCAGGAATGTAAAGGCCACCTTTTCCTGGAGAGCACTCTATGATCTTGGACTCTGCTTCCGGTGTCACTCATCTCCTGACCACTTATAAAGATGTCTACTGACAGCCTGCTTGCTCCAAACCCTGCAGAGCCAGAAGGTCATGAGACAGTCCAGGAAACTCACTCAGAAAGCACCCAGAGTTTACAGACAAGACTTGGGTGGTATGGTCAGCATTATTTGGATCATCCAAGGAAAAGATGGTGACAGTGCCAGTTAAAATAAGTATTTTATTGAGAAACGTGCTGTCAGTGAGAAGGGAACATACAAATATGTCCATCTAATAATTAGCTTATCCTCAATCCTAGAATTAGTCCTAGAAACATCCCTTGAAGGCCTCCGTCCTCTGAAACAGCAACTCACTCTGACCTATGGTTTTCTTTTAGAGCCTCCCATGGAAAATAATGTTTCAGATCCCTCCATCTGGGCAAACAAAGGAGCAGACCTAATGCGGTTCGCTCACAAACAAAACAGACTCCTGCACTTGAATTCGAGTTGCTTGCGGGCGTGTGGATTCTGTCTGGTGTCACCAGAGGCTGCTGGAGCAGATGTTTCTGCACACTCCTAGGCGTGGGGAGTTACAGTTGGCCGTGTCTTTTATCCCCCTAAGTTTTAGAGTGATGTTTTTCTGCCTAAAACATCCTATTTCCATGATCATAACATAACTAAGTATCATTTCTTTTTAAATACACTAGGCTTCCATGCAAGTTTTTTTTAATTATGCATTTGCTTAATTAATGTATATTTAATTATACATTAAAAGGGTCAGGGCACCAACCCCATAAATAATTTTCTAGGTGGCTCTTGTATATGAAACACTATGAGATAAATAATGTTTAAAATAAGTTAAACTATCACTGATATCTATTAATCAAGTAGTTGTTCAAAGGCTGTGCAAATTATCTGAAGATAAAGCTTTATCTGAAGGTGTTATGTTCTGGCGTGGGGACCCTGGAGAAGAGTGTCTCCTGAGAGAAGAGGTGTTGAAATGGGATTTGCCCTTCTAAGGGTGAAGAGACCAGAGCCCTTCCCTCTCGTGGGTGCGGCACCATCTGTGAACCTGCTGAGTGTGCCGCCTTGATCTAGCACTTACACTTACTACTTACTTACTATAAGGAAGATTTCCTCTTGCCTGTGGGCTATCTCACTGTAAGAAAGACTTCCTCTTGCTTGTGGGCTATCTCATTCATGTCATTTTTTTTTTTTTAAAAAGGCTTTAGTGGACTAAGCAACATCTGGTGTTTTTAGACAGGGACACATTAAAGACTAAAGGTAGGATGCTAGAATTTTAAATTTCTGACTACACTTTTTCAGTTCAAGGAATAAAACGGATTTTCCTTCTACAACAGGATACTCTGAAAGTCCCAGAAGTAGTACGCATTATGGCAATACTTTTGATAACATTTAAATCAAAATGCTCAGATTGCTTAAAATTTTAGCTTGAAAGATTATAGAGATAATATTAATGTTCTTACTCTTCTCTTATTGGGACACATTAGTACTTTAGAGAAAAGACAAGATAAGACAAAGCTTTAAAATTGGCATTTTATCAAAACTAAATTTAAAAATTACTTTAAAAAATAGTGGGATTAGCCAGGCATGGTGCACACACCAAGAGGCCCTGAACTCAGGAGGCAGAGGCAGGAAGATCAGGAATTCAAAGCCATCCTTGGTGACGTAGGGAATTCGAGGCCAGCCTGACTTCATGAGGTCATATCTTAAAAACAAAACAGTAGTTTTAATTTTCAAATGGGAGTATTTGTCAAAGACGTGGAAAGAAAAATAAAAGCTCTTACTAGAACAAATAAAAATCTGTTTGGGGGAAGTGTTGTTGATAAATGTGAAGTTGTCTTAAGGTTCATTTTTAGAGCAGCAAACCTGCCAAATTTGGCAATTTAAAAATAACAGCCAGTTGAATACTGACTTTGAAATTATAGCGAACATTTGCAGAAGGAGAGATTTTAAAGTATTAGAACAGTGGTGCCTAAAGCGATCATTGCACCCGTTATCAGAACGACTGACTCCAGGCTTTCTCTGGCCGGTTTCCTATGTGCTTTTCCCCGCACATGAGGTCATAGCATGTCAGGACACGGTAGGAATGCATGTGCCCCTTACAGGGGAGACGACAGAGGCTCAGAAAGGTAACCTGTCCCAGATTCCACAGCTAAAAGTCCCAGGTGTGAGACTAGAGGGTACGCGTCCACGTGGGGTTCTTGCCTTTGTAATTTAAGTCTTAGGGGAAAGTGAGGCTGGAGACGAGTGGCCGATTTCTTTATAGCTTTCCTGTTGGGGGGTGCTTACGGTCACAGCAGGAGGACTCTGTTCAGGACTCTTCTGAAGAAACCTGTAAAACAAATACTCATCCCGGAACTCGTATTCGTTGGTGATGTGTTGGATGACGCCCCCCTGCACCAGTCTGTCTCCGTAGATCACGGCTTCACCGCGGTCAGAGGCAAGGCCCACTTCAATTAGCCAGTTCACCAGGTCACAGCCACAGAAGGTCCCGGCAGAGGACTTTGCACCACACCTGTGTGTCAAAGGAGGAATGATTCAGCCGTCTGTTCTGTGACTCTGGTATCAGCGCTGCGCGACGGAAGACGAGCAAAGGAAAACCAAAAGGAAGTGAGGACGGACAGCATGACAGTTCGGAGCATGACAGAAACGGAAGTGCTCTAAACGCTACAGAGCCGCTACCCTTCCTGGCCCTGGTGACAGGTAAAATAAGCCAGTAATGCTTGTGAAAATAAACACCTCTTAAAAATGGCACAGAGAAGTGTATCGCCTGAGAGACGTTCTTTCTGGAGGGAGTGCGTGTGTACATGTGACACGTCCCTGTGTTTATGCATGTTTGAATGTACTGTGTGGGGTACACATACATGCGGAAGCCTGAATTTGACTGGGTGGCTTTGATTCCTCCTTATTTTACTTATGGAGGCAGGGTCTCTTACTGAACCTGGAGCTCACCCAGTCCAGCTGGTTAGTTTGCCAGATGGCCCCTGACTGATCCCCTGCCGCCGTCTACCTACGGCTGGGATTACAGGCAGGGCCACCGCACAGGCCGCCACACCTGCCCAGCTTGTATGTGGGCTGTAGGGATCCCAGATCCAGTCTTTGTGCTTGTGAGATACGCATATTATCTACTGAGCCATATTCCTAGCCCCCAAACAAAAGTTGGCCTGTGTTTTGTGAAAACTTTAATTTTCAAGAATGTAAACAGCTATGTAAGGTTGTGGATACTATATTGAGCAGTGTATATCAAAACAATTTTTGACAATGGTCTAAAAAATTTTTTCTATGTATATGGAGGTTTCACCTGTATTTATGTCTGGTGGGCACCATGTGCATGCACACACGCGCACACAGGCATGCACACAGGCATGCACACACATGCACACAGGCATGCACACAGGCATGCACACACATGCACACAGGCATGCACACACACACAGGCATGCACACACGCGCACACAGGCATGCACACGCGCACAGTCGTAAGATAATAAAAATCAAGCATCTTTAGGAAGCGTGCTTTGATTTTTATTTGCTTCTGGATTGTTTAATATTTGTCTTCCTAATGCAAATGTGGATTGCTTAAGTATGAGCAGATAAAGAGAAAGAAATGCAAAACAAGAGAACCAATTACATGAATTACGAACATTTTCCTACAAATGTGCACTAGACAGCAAGAAGCTCCACAAGCGTCAATCAAGCTGTGAAGTCTAGAGCACTTGACAACAGGAAATAGGGGGCGAAGAGCAAGATGAGATGGCAAATGGGTGTCAAAGACTTTAAAGCATTTTACCCGTACATACAAAGTTTCACATGTAAGAATGAGGAAAAAGTTAATAACCGAATTTTTCTCAAATATCTAAACTATCAATGTTGGAGTGACTGTCTGGGTCTTTTTAATGCAGAGGTGTACTTTCTGTCCCAGGCACTAGCTGGAGGTGTCTGTTTCTCCACTGCGGTGACCAGGCAGCTGTCACAGAGCCTATGCGATAGGACAGCGTGTCAGAGAATGTGACTGGGACAGGCTGCAGATCCTGGAAAGGAGCAGGAATCAGCTGGTTCCTACCAGCTGGTGCCCATTCAGCCATCTGGGACCTGGTAGCTCAGCAAATGCTAAGAGTTCTGCTTCCTGGCAGTTGGCAAGCACAGTAACCTGGCAGATCCTGTGAGTTTTCTTGTAAGAAAGTTTTAGAGCAATGTTAAAGTGTTCAGACTATACGCAGTAATCCTGAAGCTGTGCTCAGCCTTCCAAGGTAGAAAAGTCACTTTTCTCCAGTTTCCCTTGTCAGTGAGTGGGCAAGGCTCATCACAGACACTGGGCCGTCAAAGTAAGCTCTTTCCTCTACGGTTTATTATTTTACGTATGTGAGTGTTTTGTCTGCATGTATGTCTGCGCACCACGTGCGTGCCTGGTGCCTAAGGAGGCCAGAAGAGGGAGTCAGATCCCCTGGAACTGGAGTGACAGAAGAGTCCTGAGCCACCACTGGATGCCGGGGACCTAACTGGGTCACTGAAAGGACAAGGGCATCCAACTGCTGAGCCAGGTTGAACAGGGTGGCACAGTGCTTAGAAACAAGCCGTCCTGAATACTAACCTCCAAACTTTTAGGCATGCACCTAAAGGTACTAGGTTCCTTATTTTTTTGCTTTGTTTTACTTCCTCTTTCACGACAACTAAAACTATCAGCGCTGTTATATTTGATTATTCATAGTTTATCGTTTCCAGCTGCAGCATATTCTGGACCTTCGGGATTAGGGGACTAAATAAAATGCCACAAAATAGCTACAGGACTGGAGGTGAAATAAATATCAGAGAATAAATTAAGAGGCAGGAATTTCACTTCATTCTCTTGACAGCATCGTTAGTAATATGAAGTGGCATTGGCACCAGGAGGTAAGAATAGAAAATCCCTTCTAAATCTAGCGTTTTCCCCTGTGTCACGAGAGACACTAGTGGCCAACATGAAGAGAATGTTCATCCTCTACCACACCGGAGAAGCTACCCGACATGAAACATAAAAATAAAAATGATATGCCATTTTTATATCTTACTCCTTACACTATAAACTCACCCACAACAATTAGCTTGTGAGAACGTGATGTTAACAACCTGTTGTCTACGCTTCTGAAGCCTGCACCGGCTTACCTTCTCTCTCTGACAATGTTTCGGATGCACAGGTCACGGTGGTAATGGACGAACTGCTGACAGGTCATTTTGATTTCTTCAGAAACAGGGGACTCTCTGTTTTCTGCTGCTTCCTTATTGGTCCACAGGAATTCAAGCCTGAAAACCAAAATTTAAGCAGGCTGTTTCTTAGGGAAAGAAAACAAGCGTGAAAAGATCCAACCTGTCTCACCAAGGGGCGATTCCAAACCAGTCACCAAAGCTCTGTTATCAACACCCAGATGGCATTCATCTCTGCACCAGAAATGCCCTTGTCCTGCATCTGCTCTTTGAGCAGGCTGGGGTGAGAAGCGACCCACTTCATACTCTCTTCAGACGTGTTTGGCCCACTTCAGTTTCTCCTAAGACGTTCCTTCTGTGTTTGACCTTTTTGAAGCACAGACATAACTTAGAAACCAAGCCGGATGTCTCAGACTGCCTCAGAAACTAAAACCAAAGCTAAACGAACCAAGGTAACTTATGGATTACGCATTTAATTGCGCCATTTCCAACATTAGTAGCACAGAAACAAATGCCAGGATCTGGGGTATAGGGCAGTCAGTTCTGTCTATCCAGGCAATGCAAGTGCTGACAATTGACTTGGCCAGCATTATGAAGCCGGCAACTAAGGCCAGTGGCTTTTCTGCTATACTTTTCTTTTAGAAATGACTATGACCCTTAGCAACGACATCTTAACGACGACAATGATGGTGGTGATGGAGAAGGGGCAGACGCTGTTGACTGGCGCTCCTTACAGAGCAGGTAGGCTGGATCCCTTTAGCACTGCTAGCATCTATGAATTTTCCCAAGAGCACATGAAGAACAAACATTTCCCCTGCCTCTCTTCCCACCCTCTGTTGAAACTTTTACCTTGTTATTCTTCACAAAGAAACCTTGATCTTAGTTAAGAGAAACCTTCCTGGAAGCCGACAAAACCCCCAAAGTTGAGAGAATCCTTGAATTCTCTGTAAACTCTCAGATTTAAAAAGAGAGAAAGCCCACTGTCAAGGACAAAAACAGTCAGACGTAGACGCTGACGGGGAGCACACCACTGCCAAGTTTCCTTTAACTGTGTAGTTAGTAGTGCAGGTAAAAGTTAGTGTCCATCAGTTCTCATTAAAATACAAATTACATTGCTGGATTTGTAATACTTCTAATGCTTTCTCTGCAATTATTTGCAACAAACATGTGATTCCACAGATTACCTTTGCGTGGTATTAGTGGTTTCTTAGCAGATATAAAAGTATAACGGTATCGATATTTTAATAGAATGACCTTGTCATCACCTTTAGGTACATAGGATTATTTCAAAACTGAATTTACCTTCTTTTGAAAGGTAGGATGATTAAATGTTTATCCAACCCAAAGATTCCGAAGGAAATAAATCCCTAGGGGAGAAAACAGTCGTTCTGTTTGAATTCAACCACAAAACCTTAAGACAGAAATGAAGACATTTAGTGCACGGGGAAGCAGCTGATAGTGATTAGAGCAACATCTTAAATTCTGCATACAAAGCAGACTTAAGTTCAGTGCCTGCAGGCACACATGACACCCTGCTTGTTGCCTCTTCCCAATCATTCTGTCCTAGTAATTATGATGGGTACGAAAAGCCAGTGCTGAAGTACTGCATTTGCATGACAGCTCCCTGAAGCTACATGTTTTGGTTTCCTCCTTTCTGAAAAGAAAATCTCTCCGTGTGTGCCTAACTACTTATTATTTTTTTTTGTTGAAACTTCATAAATTTAACTAACAAGGGCTGTAATATCTAATTGTAATACAGTTAGTATTATGTTGTAGATAGAAAAGGTCCCCAAAGACTTATGCATTGCAAGCATGGGCTTTCAGGCACTGTTACAGGTGGGCCCAGAGGTGGGGTGGACACAGCAGCCTTCTGGAAAAGCTGAGCGTGGTCCCAGCACACATGCTGAGTGTGACTGAGTTCTGGAGGATCTGATGCCCTCTTCCAGCCTCCACAGGCCACTGCACTCATGCGCACACACCCCATCTTCCCCAGACACGCTGTATGACAGACACATAATTAGAACATTTTAAACACAAAATATTACATGAAGGACTTGATTGTCTTAAGCTACAAAGAGTCAGAAGAGAGCATCTTACTACATCAAGCCCTGAAAGGGAAACAGGACTGGAGTGAGACTCTGTCTCCTGCCTTTGAGCCACTTGAGACAGAAGCTGTGTAGGCAGAGTGTGGAGCACATTCCTGCCATAGTTCTGTTCTGGAAAAAGCCCTGTGCAACGGAGCTTGCTTGGTTCCCATCCTAGAGTGGCTCAGTCTGGAGTGGGCTTTCTGAGTGCAAAATGCTGAGGGGGGCTGTGGATTTACAGCCCAGAATTCTATAGTTGGATAATGTCAGCTCTTAAATAGTATCACAAAGTGAGACTGGTATCAGATGGCTCTGGGCGCCCATGTTTGTCCCTAATGGACGATTACATAATGTGTTTCTTAATACTTTGCTGGTTTTCTTCCAATAACAATGTCAAAACAAACAGGAAACTCTTTGAGTGGAAGGCAAAACCATGTAGGAGCAGAAACTCACAAAGCTCTAACTATCTAATATGGCAAAATATTTCAAATTTAATAGGTGGTGATTTCCAACACAGTATTTTTCAAATTGACATTCAGTTTATGCACGGATATTCTCTAATCAAAAAGTAAGGGTTTGAGTTGGGGATAAAGTTCAGTGTAGTTACATGCACCACATATAACTGGTTCGCCTAGCATGTAGAAGAGAAAATTCAATCTCCAGCACCTTCAAAAGGAAGTGGTAAGCAAAGCGGGTGGATGAAAAGATCAATTTTTTTTTGAAGATATTTGCCAGGAATTTAAAATGTTATTTTTCCTTAAATAGCCCTTTTTTGTTCCAGTGCTAGGGATTAAACCCAGAGCCTTCAAGATGCCAGACATTAAATATCAAATTTAGTGAGCTGAGAGGGAAATGATGGTATCTATTGTATAGGCATGAGATAATGAACATAAAATCCTTAACAAGGGTTGGTCCATGGTATACGCCAGAGGAGGCTACTACTGCGTCTGCTAAAATGTATTTATTTGTCACATGATTTTTGAAATACTGATTTAAGTGCCTGCCATTCCAAAAGCAGGCAATGTTTAGTAGTGTAGTGGCCAAACTAAAAGGCTCAGAGAAGCCTGCTATTTTCCAAACGAGTTATGAAGATTATGAGAAGTTTAAGAAGAATTTGGGGACATCTTGTTCCTACTTAAATCATTATTCTTCATCTCAAAGCCAAAAAAAAAAAAAAAGTCTTTGGTATTTCTGATTGAAACACTCAGCGTACATTCTGATGACTTCAACCAATATCCTAATTCATCTCTACTGGGAGACAGGCGGCAGCTGGCAGCTGTCATGCACACCAGCAGCTGATAAACAATCAGAACCCTTTGCATAGAAAAGAAAACAACGTCTGCATCCCCCCCCCATCCACTCACCCAAGAAAACAGAGCCCCCTCAGTGCTCAGTAAATAAATACCTGGCCGAAGTTAAACACGGCACAGAAAAACTGCAGTTCAACATAGAGCCGCCCCGTCTCATGGTTGAACAGCCACCACAAACAGCTGGAGAGATTCTGTAAAGGGAAGAGACAGGTAACTTCAAAATTAAGCACGAGAATCATTTTTCTCCATCCAGCACACGCTATGATAACTTCTCTAGCTGATAATTAGGGGAATAAAGATTAAAGGAGAAAAACACCGAGAGAATCTACACTTGTCTTTCCAACAAGAGGTTTCCACCTCTCCTCTTGACAGATGCCATTCAAACTGTCTATTCTGAACAAATCCGCAGCAGCAAGACAGGAGCCATAAAACAGGAGCTTACATAATGTATCAGGACTGCCGACTAGCCTACACAGCATGGATTTTAAAATTAGCTTGACACAATAAAACAATTATATCACTAAGCAGCAGTTCTTGGCAGCAGGTCTTATTTTTCGACTTTTGCTCTTGGATGGCCGTTAAGTGTTGCGAGCGTCCAAGTGCACAAAGACCGCAAGGCTGTTGGCCCCTCTCCCATCTCTAGGGAGGCACACTTGAACCGTTTTAAGGGATTAAGTGTAACAACTGATAACGCACAAATGAGGGCAACAAATAAAAGCCCTTCTGTAGTAAAGGAAAGTATTGAGCTTATAAATCATAACACTGGGAATCCTTCGATACTGTATGGCAGCCCGAGGCCTCTATGAATATATGAATACGCACGACCCCTTTGGGAAAGAATCAGTAGAGTGTACCTGTGTCACCAAAATGCTTCTAGACTTTGGTGCAGACTGCTCAACTTCGGGAATCTTCCAGTAGAAAAGACAATGCCTGGAAGTGTTTATCAGGGCATTTTGAAAAATTATGAACAATTCATAAAGAGGTGCTTGAATAAATTATGATGTTGCTTTTCTGTGGTTACTGGAAGGTAATTTAAAACAATGGCTTTGAACACTTCAGTCAAGTAGCCTCGTTAGACAGGGGTGGAAAAAGCAACATGGAAGCCTGAGTGTTTTCCTGTGTATGTGTTTGTCTGGTGCCCACAGAGGCCAGAAGAGGGCGTCAGATCCCCAGTGGTTGGAGCCGCTGAGCAGCTTTTGTCCTCTACAAGGGCAGCAAGTGCTCTTAACTGCTGAGCCATCTCTCTAGCCCCGGGAAATTATTTTTAAAAGTTTATTTGAAAAATATTTTAGAGAGATAATTTAACTATCTGTTCACTTTCAGGAGTTAAGTGGTCTTGCATACATCATGGAAATACTTTGTTCTGACAAACTCCAGGTTCAAGAGCACAAAAGTCTATACAGAGAACAGACCCGTTGGGGTGATTGGGCAACAGAGCGAGCGACTCATTCCTTGTCCCTCATCCTCGTGCCTCAAACATGGAGCTAAATGTTAAAATTCAGAGACCTCGCCACCATACTTCTGCAAAGTAGCAATGAGAGAAGGCAAATATTTAAAGAAACAAGCCCAGCTAGAAGCAGAAGAAGGCCTTACAGCAAACAGGCCGATGATGAGAAGCAAACATAACAGGACGTGGCGAGTCAGTTGTGGGTCTCCAGTTTGCAGGTACTGCTCCTCCTCCTGGGCTAGGATGCAGCTCTGGGAGTCACAGCGACTCACACAGTGGTCCGCTGCAAAACAGCACAGGTGTAATTATTTCATGGTGGCGTCCCAAGAGGGGCAGCACAGAAGCACGCTCCGTTAAGACACGGGATCTAACTGTCAGCGACCCTGGAGAAGGCCCTCACGTTATGTTGGAGAGTCTGAGGATGCAGAAACAGCGTGTGGCAGTTCCTACCACACACTTAACAAGGGTTTCCGTCTACAAAATTTATGTTATATAATAAATAATGACATAATTTAGACATACTTCATATAGTTTACCTATACTTTTAAAGGCTGAACGAATAAAGTTTTATCTGTGCTAAAGCCACAAAGACTCTATTGTGTCCTAGTCTGGACAAACCATGAAATAAATGTACTATTACCTCTTACATTTCAGGAAAGAGCTCAACTAATTAATTAGTCCTGATTCTAGAGAACAAAGCTAGGGGGAACAGTCTCAGCTTTTAAAAGAAAAAAAAAAGGCCAAAGTTCAATGTTTCATGGATTTCCCACTTCAATTAACCTTTGTTTTTTATTTTGAAAAGTATTCAGGATTGAACCTAGCGTTTCATGATGTTGGGCAAGTACCACCGAGCTATACCCTCAGGCGTGTGGGTTAAATTTATTGGGAAATCTATTTTAATACTATCTTTAAGAATTTTATTTTTTAAACGAGTGTTCTATTTCTATCATCATGATCTTATTATCACTTTCTCCCGTCTTATTGGAAACATATTCTCAAGCCATGTAGAGTCCCAGGGCACTTACTTTTCTCGAAGGAAGAAGGCATAGGCCCACTGGCACTTGTGTCTGTTACTGGCTCTATTGATGGGCAACGTAAGTCTCCATTTCCCAAGGAGCAAGAGCAGCAACCTAGACAGAGGAAACAGTCTCTGAAGGTAGAGCCCAATCACAGAAGAAACGCACAAGTTTAAAAGATGCCAACAATCCCCGAGCCACTCAAGATGTCTCCGTGAAAACGTTTTCTGTTCGGGCCCGTATCTACGTGTGCCTATACAGCGCTGAGCAGTAAACGGGGTCAGACAAGTGATCAGCTCCCTTAGAGTCCCCTCACTCGATGAGACAGGGAGAAATGTGGCCTACGTGAGCCCGCCTGCCTGTGACTTGGACTTGCTAGTTGCCTGCCCCAGCTATTGGACAACAGGCATCCCCTTCTTCCCGGAAGCCCCGTTTGGACACGGCTATAGAATCCTCTTCTAGGCTCATCTCAGCAGTCCCTTCTTCCAAGCCCTTCTATCTCACAAGTCTGGAAGATTCGGCTGAAGCAGCTCTACCTTTTTCTTTACAAGCACACATGGCTGAGCCTCCAGCTGGTTTATAGGCAGGATGCTCTACCCAAGCCACAGTGAGCCATGCTGCATAGCTGTAATTTTCCTCTGTGCTGTTTATTTATATATTTGTTTATTTAAATGTTTATTTCCTCGGGTAACTGCACACAGTGACCTTTAAATATTTTTTACAGTTATATAGGCATGGGACTTCCTGATATGGATTGCAAAATGAATAGAAGAATAACTTCAGTGATAAACTATTAAAATGTACACGCTAGGATATGAGTAATACTTAGACTTGACCTCTCCTTGATAATGTTCTTAAGTTCTTAGGTGATATTCTTAAAAATGAAAGGATTTCAAAGTACAAAAGCTATTATCTATAAGCCATTACAAATGTCTTTTTAATTTTAAGATAATAATGCCACCTCAAGGTTAAAAACAGAACCACAGAATAACAGAAAATAAATTATCTTGTCTAGTTCTCTTCAGAAATATGAAAATTTAAATAATAAAATTACATAAAAAAGACATAAAAATTAAGGAACCATGTGAGGCCAGAACATTCAAATAACATAGCTCCTGGGAATGAGCACCTGCATGCACACAGATGTGCATATAAATAAGCAATTATGGCCTCTGGGAAAAATTACTTGGCAGTTTCTTCCTCAAACATAAGGGTTCATCAGTGGCTGTTAGCTTTCTCTTTATTAGACTAACATTTTTTATTAAACAAACTGTTTTTATTTATTTTCAAGATTTATTTATTTATTTGGTGTTTCGAGACAGGGTTTCTCTGTAGCTTTGGTGCCTGTCCTGGAACTAGCTCTTGTAGACCAGGCTGGCATCCAACACAGAGATCCGCCTGCCTCTGCCTCCAGAGTGCTGGGATTAAAAACATGCACCACAACCGCCTGGCTGGTTTATTTATTTTTAAGATTTATATGTTTCTGTTTTGTGTACACGAGTGTTTTACCTACATGTTTGTATGTGCACCATGTGTGTGCCTGGTGCTCAAGGGGGCATCTGATCCCCTGGACCTGGAATGTGAGCCACAATGTGGGCACTGGGAACTGAATCTAGGCCCACTGCGAGAGTAATAAGTGTTCTTAACTACGGAGCCATCTCTCCAGCCATATTAGCTGAACTCTTGACCACATAATAAAATGTGATCCGAATTTCACAGTATTTATAACACAAAAGTCCTAGACCTCTAACAAATGTGCAACAAGGGTCAAAGGAAGAGTAACTATGTTGAATTACCAAACTAGAGAAGAGGCCAGGATGGCGTCTGAGGTGCTATGTACTTTCACTTCTAGTAAAGCAGAAGAACGCAGGATTTAGGAGAGAAATGTAACCAGACCTTTTTCCTTAGCAACATGTGTAAACAGGTACTTAAGTAAGTACTTGACTCAAGCACTCTCTGTGATAGTATCAGAGAATCATGACACTCATCCAATTATATTCCATATAAAAATAATATTACTAAGTATGTATGGTAAGTCTGATACCTCACTAGGAACTAAGGCTAAAAGACAAATCAGAAATAGTATTTACAGGCTTCTGGGCCAAATGAACAACAGCAGTTATCAAAAAGCCAGATGAGGGAGGAGGCTGTGGATACAGCGCAAGGGGAGAGCTCTCCCCGAGTGTTCACGAGGCCCTGGGTTCAATCTCAGCCCCACAAAAACAAAACAGAACAAAACAAAAAAACTGCAATAAAATTAGGGTTGTAAAAAAAGGAGACAAAAGCATAAACACTTCGGGTTTCTTGTGGACAAAGCAGAGAGCTGTCCTGTTGATAACATTGATTCAAACTAGCTTTCTTGCTGTGGATGCTATCAAGAGGGATTAAAGCCTATGGCTCAGTTTTTTGCTGTTTCTAAGAGTCAGGTGAAAGGTGAATGCGGAAGTCTCCCAAGGGTCTCATGTCCCTTGCTCAGTGCTTCCTAGAGATGCTACCCTATAGCAGCCATTTAAACATTCAAGGAGGAAGACACAGCAGGCTGCCTGTCGGTGGTGATCTCCCAGGGCTGCCACAGAGCAGACTGGTTTAAAGTATAACTGCAGAGTACACAGACATGAGGAAGGGAGGAGGGCAGGTGGGATCTGAGACCTACCCTGGGCTTGTGGAAAGCAGAATCTAATATTTTAGCAAAGGCGTCACTGAGCTTCAATTTTAAAAGGAACGTGGTCAAGAAACTTGAAAGAATAAAATTCAGATGATGTCATCACAAATTGTCAGCGAGCCCAGGTTGAAGGGCTTGGCAGCCAAAGCAGAAGAGAGGTGGGATGGTATGCATGCCAGTCTGGGGCAAGGCACCGAGAGTCTGGTAGTGTAGACAGGAAGAGGCGGAAGGACGGGGTGAAGCAGGAACCATCCAGCATTAGAGGGACTTGAGAGTCTTGGCCTGTACTGCAGCAGAAGCCTGATGCAGTCAAAGCTTTCTGGGGAGAGTTAGTTGAACCATTTCACAGAAGCTCGACCGGATGCTGAGGTGATTGGAAGCTGATGACCTACAAACTGTAAGATGAAATAACCAAGCATTTTTCATAAAAGCCGCTTAGGCTCTGTGGCAGTGATTCAGCCCTGCCATTCCAGTATGAACACAGCCACTGACGACACGTATGTGAATGTTGTAGCTGTGATCCACAACACTGTGCATGGGAAATTTAAGTTTCATAGAACTTTAAAATCTTTTTTTTAAAAAAACTACTTAACTTCAATCTTCTAAAAATGTAAAAAAAAAAAAAAGATCTGAACTGAGAAACTGTACAAAAATCAGGTGTTAAGTCTGACTTGACTTGTGGGCTATAGTTTGTAGACGGATAAGTTCTATGATTTAACCTTAAACTCAGTTAGGTCTCTCCTTAAAATTTATCTTACTGATGGCCCTTGCCCGATGAAATGCTGCCAAAGCAGGAAATACATGTGTTTAGTTTCCGAGGATAGACCTTCCTTCCCTTTGGCTTCTTCCAAAATTCTCAGGTCAAAGCTGGGGACGTGCAGAGTGTGTGCGAGGTTCTGGGTTCAATCTCCAGCACTGAAAACTGGCAGAGTGGCTCAGGAGGCTGAGGCAGGAGGACCAACAGTATGAAGCCAGCCTTGGATACAGAGTAAGACCCTGTATCAAAACAGCCAACTGACCAGCTTCTCTCGGAAGTCTCAGAAGTCAGCAAAACATTAACCTCAGATGGATGGATGAAGTGCTTAGGAGAATGAAGTTCTAACGAGTTAACCAAGTTGTTCGATCGACAAATTCCTATAGTATTCAGAGTGACGTAGTGAATTTACATTGAACCAAAGCATCCAGAATAATGTGACAGTTTTTGCTTGTTTGTTTGTTTTAAAGTATATGCAGGGAGGCTGGACAGTGGAGGCGCAGTCCTTTAATCCCAGCATTCAGGAGGCAGAGGCAGGCAGATCTCTGTGAGTTCGAGGACAGCCTGGTCTACAAAGCGAGTTCCAGGACAGCACAGGGCTATAGTGAAACCCTGTCTTGAAAAATCAAAAATAAAATCTCTCTCTCTCTCTCTCTCTCTCTCTCTCTCTCTCTCTCTCTCTCTCTCTCTCACACACACACACACACACACACACACACACACACACACACACACACGTCTTACTTGTTTCTGGGAGAGAAGCTGGGAAGAGTTCTGGCTCATTTGTTGGTGCTGGGCTCTCCTCAAACGCAGTGCTTCCAGGCTCTGCTGGCTTGTGGTCCTGAGATTGGCCGAAACCTTCATAGTGACCAGCTTGGGTGGTACGGTTCATGCACATGAGTGACACACCAGCTATCAGAATGCTGCAGAACAGGGTGACCGCTGTGGTGATCATCTGCCAGATATCAGGAGAGATGGCTCAGCGGTTAAGAGCACTGACTGTTCTTCCAGAGGACCTGGGTTCAATTCCCAGCACCCACATGGCTCATACCTGCCTGTAATTAGTTCCAGGAGATCTGACATACTCACACAGACATATATGCAGGCAAAACACCAATGTATATAAAAATAAGTCATTTTTAAAAAATTTAAAGACCACTTTCTTGATAGCATATATGTCTGTATAGCTTTAAACATTGCAGAACAATGTTTCTTCAAAATGAGTAGGCGTACTGATTTATTTGTAAAGAAATCGTGGTTTGTCTTTAATCATACAAGTTTCTTGTATGTTTCATGTACAGCAAGTGGTTAGCAATAGTCACTGGTTTCCTTAAGTTAACAGACCCTTTACTCTAAATGGTGCATGTAGTTAAGCCATCCTTCAGCAAATGGAGACTTTCTTACAGTAATGATTATAAAAATTATAGCTGATATTTATGAGCACCAACTGGATGTATTTGTACAAGCCCTTTTATATATAATCTTGTTTATTTTCATAAAACTGAATTAAGTTCAAAATTACAAAACAAAAGGTAAAAATTTAAAAATCTTTGGTGAAAGTGGATCCTACCCCTGAATAATCCAGCAAGTCCCACAGGATATAGCTGGACTTGTATAGCTTTGCAAGTCCACTTTGCTTTGATATATTTTATTCTGGAATTTGTATTTCTCATAAGAGTAACATTTGACATTTACTATTACTGCTAAGTTGTTTACTTTTTTCCCTTCAGTAGAGGAAACACAGTTTATGAATATATCTTCAATAAAATCAATTAAGGGGGCCGGAGAGATCACTTTCTGCTCCTACAGAGGTCCTGACTTGGTTGGATTCCTAGATCCCACAGGCCAGCTCAGAACAGTCTGTAACTCTAGTTCCAGGGATCCAACTCCCTCTGCTGGCCCCCACAGATCTGCAAACACATTGTATGTCTGTACCTTCAGGCAAAACACTCATACACAAAATAAAAATAAATAAATCTTTAAAAAAGCAAAATAAAAATTAATTTATAAGTATTTAAAAAATCTTCAGCTAAAAACATTCGTATTGTGTGGTGCCATAAGGTGTTAAAATCACCAAAATTGTATACAGTAAATGAAAATATATTTAAATTTAACTTTAGTATAAGAATATCAAGGTACATCAACTAACAAGACATTCTCAAGAAGGGAACTGCCAATAACTTCCCACCTGCTCTTTTCCATAAAAGAAGGCGGAATCAATGCTGTCTCCATTGTGTTTCCCAGTTATCAGAAGCACACCCACAAGGAGGGCAGGGATTCTGCAGCAAATGCCATCAAGAAAGAAAGCGTCAGTGACCAGCAGTAGCTGTGTGTGAAAACCCCGCAAGCCAACAGGAAAAGGCCACTCACCCCCAGCCGGATATTATGATGAGTCCCACAGGGATCTGCATGCTCTCCCGCTTTTTTAAAAGAAACAAAGAAATCGCTAGAAGGCCTAGAAACAAGGAACGGGGTTCATAAAAGAGTTGGTTACTCTTGACATCGGACAGGAGTTGCAGCACTTTCTCAAACACCAGCTTGTTTTGGTATCCTAGTGGTCCAGGTTTCGTTTTTGCTTTGTGACTTTGTTTGGCTGGTTTTTCCATATCAGGATCCTGATCCCTGTCCTCCGCTTCCCAAATCCTGGGGTTACATGTGTGCACCACCTTGCTAGTTGTTTTTTTTTTTTTTTTTTTAATAGTTGTCTGGCTTTAGCTCCAAATTTTCCTCCTTATAAACAATTGTTATTTGAAACAATTTTTCTAAATTAAAAATCACTTTGTTTTCCTTCCTAGAATCATTTGTTTATTCAAATCTTATTTTCCTGGAGGATTTCTTTTCAAAAGCCATAGTGGGTTTTTTATTAATTTTTATTTATTTATTTCATTTATGTGATTAGAATTAAGTAGAGATGGAAAAGTTAACTGCATATAGAACGTTTCTGAGACTGACTCCATTTTGTTGGTGCTAAGAAGCATATATATTTCTCAGGTTAGCTTTGGAAAATGCCCCAAAATGTAGAGCTCACACCTCATAGAAAACTGACCCAAACGTAACACAAATGCAGTACAAACCTTATACAGACGTAAATATTTCAAGAGTTTTGTTGTTATTTGTGTTTGGTTTGTCTTTGAGATTGGGTTGCTACATAGCCCAGCTGTCCTTAAACCTCAATCCTCCTGCCTCAGCCTTCTGATTGCTGGAATGAGACAGGTGCCATGACACCCAGCTTGTTTTCAAGTTCTTGAGCCTTTCCTTATGCCTGACGCTGTTACTTACACCTGTGGCACTTAATGAACTCCACAGGGCTACAGGCTCTAAGTACTGCAGGTGGGAGGAACCTCTATTTCAGATTAACACTAGAGTTCCATAGGTATGGAAGAAACAAGGGCCGGGGACAGAGTGGTGGAGAGACCCAGCCTTCTGAGGAGCATGAGGAGAAGTCCTGACACTGTTCTGGGGTTCCTGCAATGTATTTTTAGGACCTGGACATAATATAAGGAATTTCCAGTCTCTTGGGCATATTTTCGATGATAATCACTGTGTCCACCTTATAATTAAGTGGAACTTAGGTTTCAGTTTATATAGTAAGTTTGGGCCAAGGGAAGGCCACATAATGTTACAGCTTACTGCCAAATGAAGACTCCACAGGGGCCTGAAGAAAGAAAGCAATGAGATAAGCAGATCGTAACCCTGTGTGTGAGCAACTGAAGATGACCTAAGAGGACAGGGCGTGGAGTCCAGTTTCCACTGCAAGCTGTGAGCTACGTGAGCAAACTAAGATCCTTTCCTATAATTAACGCTTTCAGTCAGAACGGACACAAACGGACACGGAAAATTAACACTTTAAACTAGAATTAACATAAACAGATAGTGAGTCCTTGAGAAAGGTTTGGCACTCTGAAATTCTTATTCCCCTCACTCTGAAATTCTGATTCCCCTTGCTCCGGGAAGAGCCAGAGCGGTGAGGCAAGAGCTGGGACTATCTGCTTACGCTGATTCCGCTCTTGCTTTCACAATTTGCAAAGTGAAACCAGCAAAAAGGGCAGAGAAATGGACGATTTACACCATCAATGTACATTTGAAATTGTTTGATTAGCACGTGAAGCTTGGGGCTTCCCTGGTATTGGACTTAGCGGACGTGTTAAAAAGAAACTGATTTTAAAGGAAAAGCAAAGCAAGTAGTTGTGAAACAGGACAGACATGGTGAAGGCGGTTTGTAAACCAACCTGAAAATGACCAAACATGAGATCGTAAAATACACCAAATGGATCTGTAATTTTGTCTTTTGGGTTGAAAGCCTAGCGTTTGGCAACTGAACCATAAATTCGTGCTATATTTGTAATAATATTTGTAATAAGCTGATGATCACAGGGCACCTTTATTGTACAGGGAATTCCTAAGTTCTTTAGATAGGTCTCAGCATACATGTTTGATGGTTTTGGAGATGGTCCGGGCTTTCTGACAGACTGGTCTGTTTGCTACTCTTTACTCCCATTGCAAATCCTATCTTGAACTTAGGTACCAGACATCAGTTTGGGCCACCTATATTTGGGATTACAGTCTCTTGGTCCTTTTAGTTTGACATCTCATGACAGTGCTCAGGCTATGACAGGCAGGTATACTTGCCTCACATAAGCACAACTAATCTCGTGTTTGTGAATCTGTCACTCTGCCGTTCCTCTCCACATTGCTGCTTCACTTCAAAAGGCTGTGGACTCAGGTGGGACCAGCTTTTGATCCTTAGAGCATGAAATCAAAGGCCTTCCCACCATGGCCTCTTCCTGGCCCTTACTTGTTAACCACTGTACAATCTCCCTTCTGGAATCATTTTACAATTTCAGATTGTGGTATGAACACAAAAACAAGCAAACCAGACAGTATTTTTCACAAACAGAATGTCTGCTTCTGAACGAATGGTACATTTCAAATTGGCAATGTTCGGTTAAACCTTTTGTCTTAGTTTTCGGCGTCAATTAAAAGAGTATTCTTTATCATCGGGTCCTCTACTAGAATTATCTTATTTTATCTATTTTATCTATATGGGTGTTTTGCTTGCACGTGTGTCTATGCACTACAGGCATGACTGGTGCCTAAGGAGGCCAGGAGAGGAGTCTGGATTCCCTGGAACTAGAGCTACAGACGGTTGTGAGCCTCCATGTGGGTGCTGGGAATCGAACCTAGGTCAGAGCTCTTAGCCACTGTAAGTCATCTCTGCAGCCTCTCCACATCTGCTTACCCACTTTTCTTGTTCTCCTACTGCTTCTTTCCCCCTCTATTAATAATAAATGATGAATAGATTCCCATTTCTTGGATGTCTGCTGTGTACCAGATGTAAACGCCTATACTGCGTTTCGTCCTCAGAATGTCTGTGTAATGTGCTGCAAGCCAGCTTTAGAAGACCTGGGAGCTTGAGACGTGGCTCAGAGGTTAAGAGCACTGACTATTTTTCCAGAGGACACAGGTTCAATTCCCAGCACCTACATGGCAGCTCACTACTGTCTGTAACTCCAGTTCCAGGGGTTCTGACACCCTCAGAGCCATACATGCAGGCAAAACACCAATGAACATAAAACAAACAAACAAACAAAAAAACCCAAAGGACCCAAAACTAGTTAATTTGTATGAGGCAAAACAGTTGGCAGTTCAATAGGATCCCAGAGGTGAGCTCTGGGACACATCTAACCTCTGTCCTTTTCTACCAGGTATCTCCAAAGGGGTTCTACGTTGACACTGGCCTAGAGCCAATGACCCCCAATGAAAAGGACCACGTGACTGAGGAGGGCTTTGAGCCTGGCAGAAACAGAGTACTCAGCAGATAACTCAGCTTGACAGTCGTGCGTGCGTGCGTGCGTGCATGCATGCGTGTGGTGTGTGTGTGTGCGTGCGTGTGTGTAAAACAAACTGAGTAAACACCCTGACCTGTGCTAACACACTTCAAATGCATCAGTAGATGCTGAGGTCTTTTAGAGGGAGAGGAGGGGGCAGACTTTAGCAGTCCTTTCGCGAGCCAACTTACCTGTCCACAGATAGGTGCTGTACAGGGAGCTGTACAATAGAACAAACACCAAAATTTGTCCAACAAAATTTTTTTCTTTAACAAAATTCCATATCATCATTCCAGCACAAACAATAGACTAAAGAAAAAATTATTAAGAGATTCTGTAAGTAGCTAAAAGTAAATTGTATGATTCACTATAACAGAAAACTATGAATCTAACCATACCCGCCGAAGCTTTATTCCCAGAAAATAATCTCCCATCCAAAACTGCCACTGACCATAACTTTTATATACTGGCTTTACTAAGATTTCAAGCTTTATTATTAAAAACTTCTTTTCCATAAGCCTTGAACAATGTACATATTAAAAGAAAATAACAACCATATAATTCTAGCCTTATTTAGTAATGATTTACATAGAAAATGTAAAACTTCTTCCCGTTATGACCACATGCCAGGACCTAACTGTAACGTCAGGTCTCCTTTTGTTATTGGTTTACTCTTTAGGGTGGGAGTCTTACTCTGTGACATAAGCTGCTTTTGAACTCCCAGCTGCCCTCCTGCTTCAGCCTGCTACGTGCTCAGAACTGCAAGTATGACTCACACCTGGGTGAGAGGTCAGCGTTTAATGGCTCAGTTGTTTGTAATTGAAAATGCAAAGTTATCACTAATTGCCATTATCAATCTTAAAGCTTAAGACCTACTGCAGCATTTAATCCATCAAGCATAAAGTAGCTGGAATTAAGGTATAATTGATATCACTGCTAATAATTCTGACTCTGTAACTGAATACAAAGCCTAGCGAAGAATTTTCTCTCCTGCAGCGCAGGAATCGTGGGGAAAGCCCTGCTTCCGTATCCACAGGTATACTAACCTGAGCAATGAGCAAATTGGTGGTGAGCATATGTGGAAGCTGCTTGTATTTCTTACTCAGGAGAAGAATAGCCAGGGACCAGATCTTGAAGATAAAAGGTCAAGTTATTTTCGTTTCTCAGTCTTTATGATTACTTACTAAATAGCATATTAGAAGTCTTTTTTTATTGTGGGGCTGGATTGAACTCAGGGCCCCATGTGTACTAGACAAGCATTCAGTCACTGAGCTGCATCCTAGCTCCTGGTTCTTTGAGACAGGATCTTACTATAGAACTCAGGCTTACCTTGAACTCCAGATCCTCCTGTCTGAGCCTCCCAAGGTTTAGGATAATGGGTGTGTGTCCCTACATCTGAACCCCATGAATAGTATTTTTAGAGAATTCTCCTTATCGGCATTCCAGAAGAAATTTTAAAGTTTCATTGAAACTGCAAGTTATTAATATAAATTACTATATCCAAGGTGAAATAAAGCATAGGGAGACCCATGGTTAACAAATTAGTTCTTTAAGAGCTGTGGTTTGACCAGGGCCACATTCTAAGTACACCTACCTTCAGTGGCTGGGGTAGGACACAATGTCACAGTCAATTGGTTAGGGAAAGAGCTTTGCTATTTTTTTTTCTTTTCTGATTTTTATGGCACTAGCTTCTGAGGAGTCTACATTCCAGATAGTCTTATTTCAAACAACACATACCTCCTGCACCAAGATTAATCTTGTATTCCTAGTATTTACAAGGATTGGGTTTCTCCTCTTCCTCTTCCTTCTTTTCTGGCTAGTACTGGGATTGAACCCAGGGCCTCAGGCATGCTGCAGCTAGGCTACAGCCCAGCCCCAGGACTGAGTTTCTATTCCACCTTCAACTGCACAGGAAAGTATGCTGCTTAGTTTTCTTCTTGTCCCTAATTGCCAATAGACGTTGATACCTTCTGTCTCCCCAAACTACCTTCTTATCAAGGAACATAGATTTTTTTTTTTTTTTAAAGAGTATGTGATGGGCTGGGCAGTGGAGGTACACACATTTAATCCCAGCACTTGGGAAGCAGAGGCAGATGGATCTCTGTGAGTTCCAGGCCAGTATGGTCTACAAAGAGAGTTCAAGGACAGCCAAGATTACACACAGAGAAACCCTGTCTCAAAAATTAAAAAAAAGAGGACGTGATAGATATGGGATTTCCTAAATATCACATTAATCATGTATTTATTTATTGTTAATATACATATCCATTCTCATATCCATTCCTTTTAAGAATAAACATTGTCTTTTTCCAATCCAGAATTCTGACTGAATTAAGCAGGCATTCTGACTTATATGACACTCTAGTTGTTAAAGCTCATATATCTGAGTTAGCAGGATCAAATTCAAAAAGTTATCTGGTTTCATTTAAATAACTTGTTAATCTTGCTCCCAAAGACCTTTGCTGATCCTATGATTCAGAATAGCTAATATGTGTATGGTGATTATCGTTCACAGATGCTTATGTCATTATCACAAACCTTAGAACAATCCATAGAACTAGTGAAATGATTATCATTATAGCTAAGAAAATTAAGCAGAAAGGGTGTTAAGTAACTCCAAAGAGACACATCGGTAACTTGCAATAGACAAGGAATCAAACCCAAGCTTGACTAAGTCACACGCCTTCCCACCGTACAACTCAAAACTCCCCACTGGAAAGACAAACTTAGTTAATTAAGAAACTAATATTGCATTTCTTTCAGATAGGCTTTAGTTTTCTATTTTATCTTTTAAAAAGGTTTAAAAAATAATTTTCCCATTTAGTAGTTATCGTCAAACTTATCTTGTGTCTTCTATTCAATTTGACACTGAAACATACTTACCAGGGAGACCAGGCTGATAATACTTATATCAAAACTGACATTCTGAATGGCGTATGCCAGCGGCTTGGCATCCATGGTGGGAAAGGTCAATAGCCAGGCAGAAACATACATGATTGGAGCAGACACAAATGTACTTATTACCATTCCTGAGGTTATCTGCAAACATGAGATCAAATTGAGGAGTCATAATCTTACCTAAAAAATTGCTTAAAAATTTAAATGGCCATAATACACTAACACATCCTAAATGGAAAATGACAACCAGTAAGGACATTATAGAATCCAGCACGCGATCTGACGCCATACTTCTCCTTTCTAAGAGCATGTCCTATTGACCTCTTTCTAATCTAGGTTCAAATACTACAACTTATGTTGTTGATTATATTCTAGGCTCTGGAAAGAGCACCCTTCCAATGGTCTAAATCTATGAACAGCTTTCTTCCATGCTACTTCACAGACTATGGGAAAAAGTCAACAAAAAATAATTACCAAACATGATATTGATGAATTAATTAATGGGACTGTCCCTCATATTACATTTCAGAGCCCCTAAATACAATATACATAGACACCATAATTTACCAACTTTCTCTAGTGTATTGTGGGATATATTCTTGTGGTGACTGGATTACAATGAATGAATTTTTCCCCTCAAAATCCCAAAAGTCACTCCCTATAAATAACTTTGAAGCTTAAGTGCAAGCGTAGCTGCAAAGTACTTGAAACAAAACAAAACACAGACTAATAAAAAAGCCTGGGTTTAAGAAAAAGAAGACAGCATAGACGAATAAGGTTCCCATATTAAATAACTATGGTTATATAATGTTATGGAATAGGCTTTATTTACGGGGCAGCAGCTTAGAAAGCTCCAATTCTCATTAGAAGAACGTTGCCTTCTGCATCTTACAGCTTCCCTTTGCTCTTCACCACAGAAACCGCCCGGCTTAGAAGAAAACAGTGCATACATACAATCTCTACTTCCATGTTGAACTGGGTCGCAAAGATAGCCACGCCTGGGGCTACGGGGAAGACGCCGTAGAGAAAGGCGTAATTCGACAAACTCGTGTGGTTCACTACACTGTCTCCCTTGTCCAGGAGTTCCACCATCTCTCTGCACAGAAGGGGCAGCACCAGGCTGGAAAAAGAAGGGACACAGAATGTACTAAACATCAGCGCCTGTCTGTCCCTGCTAGTAACTGCGCTAGTGACTTTGCAACTTTGTCATTATCTTCTTCCTGCCCAGAAGGCATTTATTTTTTCATGCATATATCCTATTGCTGCTGGACATTCTGTTGAAAGTCAGGAGTTCGGCTAGGAGCCATTTCGAGAACAATGCCCCGTAATATTTCAAACGTTAGGGAATATCAAGGGGAAACCAGATTTTTACAAATATTTTTTGCAAAAAAAAAAAGAAGCATTTTAATTATAGCTACTTCCTTGCTTCTTCTACTGGTTAATTGAAACGTGAAATGAAAAAGAGGTTGAAAATCTTCGGAACTCCCCTCAAGAAAATTTCTAAACGTTGGGGGGGAAAAAAAGCTAAACTTTGTGATTAAGTGTTGAATGGTTCAATTAATGACAACAATGTAGCCCAATAAAATTCTAAAAAACAATAGAAAAGTATCTTAATAATTAGTTCTTGAGATTGTAAACAAAAGGAAAGACTCAGCGGAGGGGGAACTGAAACAACTCCGTGGAGCAGAACACAAAGGAAAGCCGGGTCTGGGGGCAGGGGACGCTATTATTAGTGTCCTCACAGTTCTGTGCAAAAGATAGCACAGTCACCTAGGCACTAGGCTTGCCTTCAGAAAGAACAAGCTGGTACATTGTCACAGCAGAGCCTAGAGAAGTCCACTGGGATTACGCATGCGTGTATGTGCACAGGTGTGCCTGTGGAGGCCAAAGGTTGACACTGGCTGCCGTCCTCAGTTGCTTGCTACCTTATTTTTGAGAAAAGATCACTCGCTGACCCTGCAGTGCACCACTCTGGCTAGGCTGGCCGGCCAGGAAGCCCAGGGAATCTTCCTGTTCCCACCCTCCCAGGGCTGGAATTACAGGCATGAGCCGCTGTGTCTGGTTTTTACATACCTGCTACAGGACCAAATTTATGTTCTCGTGCGTGCTTGTAAAACAAACACTTTACAAACTGAACCCATGAATCAGCCCTAGCTGTGTGTTGTCATGCAGCTAAGGCACTGTAATTCCTTTTTATAAATTGATGTATGTATGTATTTATCTTATGTGTATGGTTGTATTGTCTGCTTGTGTTTCTGCGCATTGTGTGCATGCAGTGCCCACAGAGGCCAGAATTAGATCTCCTGGAATTGGAGTTGTTTGTTGGTTGTCGGCTACCATGTGGGTCCTGGGAATCAAACCCTGGTTGTCTGAAAGAAGAGTTTGAGACATCTCTCTAGTTCCTTTTTTTTTTTTTTAATTTTAAAAAGAATCAAATATCTAATAAGAATAAGAGACCTTGAAAAATGTAATTAACACTGAAATTACAATATTATCATTATTGAAACAATACTACAGTGGAAATACTAACTCATATACTCTGAAAAACATATTACCACCAAAAATATTTTCCAGAACTACTTATTTTTATTTAGTTTGGAAATATAAAAGTATAACATCGTCCTAGTCCTAGTCCCATAAATTCAACTCTTATAAGTTTTTTATATAAAAAATTTAAATATGCTCTAAGAATTTTGGGTAATATTGCAGTAAAATTATGTCAACTCCATGGCTGATAAGCCAATAAACTGAAGAATTATTAACTAAAAATTATTTCTACCATAATGTTGTTCCAATGATAATATGTCTAAAAATGTTTATACTGGCTTACCTATACTTAGAACATTCAATTAAACTCACTATTACTGAATAGATTCCAAAATTCTTTAAAAAAAAAAGGGGTATGTTAAAAGTATGTTAAAAATTATTCTTAAACAATAAGATGCTTTTACTTTATGATTTTTAATGGACTTAGAAATTTTGCAAAATTTACTTTGAAAACATGATCTAGGAAGGTGGTACAGCCCAGTGGTAGAACAGTTACCTTGCATGTACAAGGCTCCGGGTTTGATGTCCTTAAATTATAAAAATTGATTAAGTATGATTTTACTGAGACATTGAAATTATTAAGGAAACCTTACCCAAAAGTAAAACGGGGGGGGGGGGGGGGCCCAAAGTAAAACCGATAATCTTTGTATTCTGACAGTAAAGTAGAAAAAAATAACCTGCATGCCTTAGGAAGAAAATATTTTTTTACAATACCCAAATAGCCCATTTCTCTTTAAATCACAACCATAAAAGAATCAACATTTAAGGGAAAAGATAGGTGCAATACAACCCAATGAATTGGCTAAAGAGTTTGTTTGTTTCTGAACTAGAATTCCCAGAGCCAATAAGCAAAACTTACAGTTTGGCTGTGATGAGAACGGTCAGCACCACAAACGCCGACTTCTTCAGCCGCCTTATCTTCCCCACCATTGTCAGACCAAGGTAGAACAGGGCCGATCCAGAGAAGGAATTGGCAAGTCCATCCAGAAAGTTCTCCATATATACAGGGATCTTTTTATCAAGAATAAAATTGAAGGCAATGCCGACAAAGACCATGAATACGATCGGGTTCTGTAACACGCGTAGAAATCCTAGTCCCACAATTTTTACTTTATTTTGAGAAGCATTCTGAGTGTCTTTTGACTTCTGGATTTCACAGAAGATAAACCCTATGGGGTTTAACATCATAAGAGATATTGGTGCCACCAAATAAATGTACTGGAGATATTCTGGGTATGTAGTTTGATACAGGGCTTCAACTGTAAAAAAAAAAAAATACTGGTTTTTAAAATATTACTACAGAATTATATAAATATGCATATATCATTTCTGTGCTTGTTTATTATATTGAAAATTAGTCTACATAGTAATGAACAACCCCATTCACTTATTTTTAGAAAGGCAAATTTTAGTAATATAACTGACAAGGAAGAAAAACTCACTATATTAAGTACCATCCAGTTTATAAAATAACAACTTTAAATTATGTTTTATAAAAACTTAACTATTTTCCAATACAGGGACTTAAAATGAATCTCTAAGGCAAGAGCTGTAAGATTTTTAAAAGAGCAATGCAAAGATAAATCTGTATAAGGTATTTGCTTGAACTCAGTGGAATGAGCATCTTCACTAGTGTGCTATGGCAGGGGTCAGATGGCAGGAGGTGGCGAGGGAGCATGCTCAGAAACTCCACAGCACTGGAGTCCACACTCCCCGGGGAAAGATGGAGAGACGTGAGGCAGCTGACAGAGAGGAAAGGCTTCCCTGGAGATGAGGAGGCCAGAGAACTGAAAGGGCAGAGAGTCCAGTGGGTAGCCGAGGAGGACGCTAACGTCACGTGAAAAAGGCAAACTTCATAACGGAGATGAGAGTTAGACATTAAAGTCTGCAGGGGATGGGAGGGAATGACGAGAATGGAGAGCAGTGATTGACATCCACTTCAACAGTCGTCAGCAAGAGAGCAGCGAGCGATGCCCTTGCCATATGGGGCAGGTAGGCTGTGAGGAAATGAAAGCAAGGAATGCTTCCAGAAAGACCAGAGAAGCCATGCCGGGCGATGGTGGCGCACGCCTTTAATCCCAGCACTCGGGAGGCAGAGGCAGGCGGATCTCTGTGAGTTCGAGACCAGCCTGGTCTACAGAGCTAGTGCCAGGACAGGCTCCAAAGCCACAGAGAAACCCTGTCTCAAAAAAACCAAAAAAAAAAAAAAAAAAAAAAAAAGACCAGAGAAGCCGCTAAAGCCAGGACAGAAGGCTGGACCTGGAAAGCTTTGGAGGGTTACCACACAATGTATTAATTAGTACATGTTTTTGTTTGCTTGGTTTTGCCTTTAGAGACAGGGTTTCTCAGCAGTCGGAGCAGTCCTGGAACTCACTCTGTAGACCATGCTGGCTTTGAACTCACAGAGATCCACCTGCCTCTGCCTCCTGAGTGCTGGGATTAAAGGCCTGTACCACCACCACCTGGCTAGTAACTACACATTCTTAAGAAAACAAAGCTTCACTTTTTCTCAGCTTGTTCCCAAAGAGCCTGTTACTCACTGAAGAATGAGGCCGGATAAAACAAAAACAAAACCAAACCGGCTGTGAGATTAACAAGAGATGGCACACATGCTATATTTTGTGGGTGACATGAGGGGCTTTTAGAGAGTCTGAGAAGGCATGATGACTCGGGAACTTAGCTGCCACAGAAGATGCTTTCTTGGTGGGGGAAGTTGGTGGGGGTCACACTTCTAGCAGTCCAGAAGGCGAAGACTGAGGAACTGGCCTGGGGTGGAACAAGGCAACGTGAAGCCACCAAATACACGACTTGGTCTTCACGCTTGTTTCAGACATAGAACTTGGACCTATCCAGCTGGAAGTATATAAGAGATCATTCATAATGGATGCAAAGTTGAGAAATAAAATAAACAGCCACAATCATTCCAAGGAGAGAGGCAATCATGTGAAAATAACGTAGATCGAGTTTCTTCATTTACACTAAGATAGAGTAACACAAGTAGGAAAACATATTTGTTTACCTCCTCAGCATTCCTAAGTTCAGTTGATGTCAGACACATGCCCCGCTGAAGTTATGTAATAGATTATATAACCACAGAACCTCACCTTGATCTCATTAGCTACACTTACTTTTTATAAGACTCAAATCATTTTTCTCCCAGTGAAGCACACACATAGGTCTGAACATCTCCAAAATAGAGCAGAGGTTAAACGCGTTTGATTGCATAAAAACCCCATCAGTTCTCTTCGCTGATTTCTAAATGAGATGCACCAGTTTACGACTCGGAGGCTGCCTCCCCTGTTTCCTGGGGCTTGCTTAAGTGAAAAGCCCCATCTTGATAATTACTCTTGGGTAGCTACACTTCTTAGGTAATCCCGTCTCTAGGAAAAAGGTGTCTGTACCTGCCCACCACTTCGGTTTCTTAAGAGGAGTATATATTTGGGGAATGCCTTGCACTTTCAACCTGGGTCTAAGAATTTTTCCTAAGTGGCCACAACACAGTGCAAAAGTGTTTTCTGTGGCAACCTCCATCTCCAGCTTCACACTCTACTCAAAGCCTGTTATACTGACTGATTGCTTATGTCTAGAAATTTCCATTCCTGACACATCACTGATGGCTACCATCTTTCCCTCCCTCCCTCCCTCCCTCCGTCCCTCCATCCCTCCATCCCTCCCTCTCTCCCAAGAATGCAATGCAAGTCTGAGCAGCAATCTTCCATTGCTATTGCTAGGCCCATCAACACAGCAGCACCCCCTTCCTTCCTCTGTTCCTCTGGCTCCTTAACAGGCCCATCCAGTTATCCACGGGTAACAAGAACAATAAGCAGCCTCATCATTTCTACAGGGCATGACTAGTCTGTCTTACTAGCTGCTGTCAAGCTCTCGGATACATTAAACCCGATCATAGGTAGATATGGATAAGACAACATTACATATATGTACACAGTTGGGAATCTTATTACTTGGGATGCTGAGGCAAGAGCTGCTGCTGGGAGTTTATGGCCTACTATATACAGGAGTCGGAAGAGGGATCTTGACACATGCTCTGTCAGATACGGGAGACTACTGCCCTTCCTTCCTACAGGGTCTTTTGAATTCTCTCCTCTTGATTCTTACTATTAGTTAAAAGTCTGAAAATTAGGTTATTAGGTATACCCACTAACCAGTGTTCTTTAGTGTCTTCTCAACCACTCCTTTCATCTATATTATTAACTCCAGAAGGCGCCATCTAAATCTCACATGTGCAGAGCTTTCAAAAATTAGTATTTTTCTATCATTTCTGTCATTCATCGTGGCTTTCTTTTAATGAGCACAACCAGTCCCCATAATGGTCTTCCTGCTTACCCAACACAGTTTTATTACTCCATAAAGCAAAGACTCCACTAGCAGAGCCATAGCACGGGTACAGCCGACAAACACTGTGTCCATAAACACAAGCTTCACTTGTGGACCAGGCTTCGTTCTAACTTCTTGAATTGGTTCCTGCCCGAGACTTGCCTTCTATTTAAGGACAGTCTCTGGGACTCATTCTGCCAAGTCTTCAACCTACATCATTAAACCTCACCTTCTCAGGAACACTCTGATACTCTGCTTTGTATCCACGACACCTCAAGAAAGTGCCAGAAGGCATCATTCTATGACACACATACCCGACCCAACACAGAGCTGAACAGATCCGATGAACAGAATTAGTTGATACATCAATGAATGCTAAGAGTTTCAGACACAGTAAAAACGTATCTTGCATCACACAGCAATTTACATCTGTTGTTGGATAATCTAGTTCTTTTCGGCTCCGTATTTTATTTTAAAAATTATCGCCTTAATTAGCCTTTTTTTGATGCGTGTGGTGTGTGTACATTTTCTTGCTGCCTTTGAACTCCCAGCAGCCCCTCTTGCTTCAGCCTCCTGAATAACAGGATTATCAAATTATTTTAAATTGGCCAATAGAAATCACATATGTTACATACACGTTACTTTGGAATGTACATGTTTTGGAACGGTTAAATGAAGCTCACCAGCATACATATTTCCTTACGTAATTTTGAATGATGTGAATTCTTATATTGTTATTAACTGTATTCACTAAGTTGTACAATAGGTCTCTTGAAGTCACTCCTTCTACCTAACTGAAATTCCATGTTTTTTCCCCCTTTTTACGCATTGAGAATATTTATGAAGCAGGTTACAATGAGCGTCTTCTAACTCAGCTGAACGAGTGTGTAAGGACAGGAGAAGTAATGTCTAGTGGGAGAGCAAATAATCGCGATTAAATCAATACTTATTAAGTTACCAGGAGAAAGGGGGCTCGGCATGGGAATTTTAGTCTCTTTTGCCGCTCATTTCCATAATTACTTAACATTCCCTCTTCACAAACTGGCAGTTAGCAACCTTGTGTTAGCAACCTGAAGACAATCTTTCAAATCGGAAAGGGAAATACACATGAATACAGTGACCTATAGCAGCTAAAATTAGATTTATAATCACCACATCAACTATTAAGTCCTAATTAATTAATGATTATAAATAAGGCTCTTCGAGGGAGGGGGAATCCCATTATGAGGAGTTATTATATGGCTTGGAAGAACTAAGATAAAATTAGCCACCCACTGGGACTCCTATTTTGATTCCCGCAGGGTTTCAATCTCTAGCAAATAACACACGGACCCTGACAAGACCATCCCATTATTTAATGGCGTAGAGCTAAATGGCTTCATCTCCATGTGTTTACAGCTCAAGCACCAGGGCATAATTATGATTAGCCAGGGTACTTATGCTATCAGCATTGTTTGAAGAATAAATTATAGGACTTAACTATGCCCTATTAGTATCTTTTAATGACAGAGGCAGGGAGTCACTCTGATCTGCTGGAACCAGCCTTTCCCCTTGGTGGATTCCTGGTTTCTTCTCACACCTGGATTTTTAAGAGCACTTTTGGAAAGAACTGTCCTAAAAGACAGCAAGCTTTTTCTCGTCTCCAATCCACTTGACTCTAGTGTTAAAAACTACACAGCAATACAGCATTGTTTATTTCCTAAACACCACGGTCACTGTACAGAGAAGAGATACAGTCAGCTCCTCTTTATTCACTAACTTATCTGTCTGCTCTCCACGCCAGCATCTCCCAAGTCCCCTGTAAACTGGGCAGAGGAGGAACAAATGCAGCCCTAAGCAGAGTGTTTCATCTAATTCATTAGCAACACTTCCCTTTGAACACGACAGTGGGAATTCCTAGGAGAAGAAGAAAGGTCTCCCTGGTGACTGTTGTCTGCTCACCATGGACAAGAGCGGAAGACAGATGGATTCAGACTGCACAAATACCCCACTGGGGAGCAGACACATGACGTAATGTTCTTTCTGTACACACCTCCCATTTTACAAGTAGATGAGAAAACGTCTATATGACTGGTTTTTAATAAAGCTATATTCCACGGCCTGGTGTTACAAGAGCTATTATCTGTGAGTAAAGCAAACAGAGATTATAATCCCAAATTGCACAACACATTCATCAAGGAAACTCAGGTTGCTATGCTTCGAGGAACTTCACTAGTACCACATTTACTATATAAAGTGGAAGGTAAGAAATGGAAGGATGAAATGGCTGGGTAAATATATTTTTAATTTGGAAAGCATCTTAATAGGAAAAGTAAATCATGCAATAGCTTTTTTCCGTGTCTACTCTTTCTTTCCCCTTTGTGGGTTCATGTATCTGTGTGTGCATTCAGAGACCAGAGGAGGAAGTCTGGAGTCCTTCTCCATCTCTCTCCACCATATTTTAGAGACAGGTCTCTCACTAAACCTGAGGCTCCTTTCAGTTAGGCTGACTGGCCAGTGAGTTCCGGGGCCCACCTGGTCCTGCCTCCCAGCACTGGGGTTCTAGGTAGGAAAGTCCTGTCTGACTTTTTTTATTTCTTCAAGCTGGTAAAGAACGGCGTTTATTAAGGGTGAGGAAACACAAGCACACAGAGTGGAAGACCTTTCACAAAGAAGAGGGTATAGGAAGCTAGGCCCTCGTATCTGGTCTTTGAGTGGATGCTCGGGGTTTGAACTCAGGTCCTCCCGCTTTTGCAGCACGCTCTCTTACTAAGCTACCTCTCTAGCCCTGGCCCCCACCCCGAACAGACTGTAAAGGCAAAAACATCTGATTCTGTTCTGAAACTACTAAATTACAAAGGTTGGTCAGGTCTTCTAAGATAGACTTAGCCTGTTATGTAACCATGTGGCATGAGAGAGCACCTGGGATTTAGAACCAGAAAGCCTAGAGCTGGGTCTCAGGCACGTGTTAGCTGTGTGACCCAGGTTAAAACAATCCTGTAACCCTGTCTCCTTAGTTGAAAGTGATAACATCCACCCTCTTCAAATAATAAAGTCCCCTGTAAAGTCTAAAATTACAAATGTTAGTTCTCTTTATAAACTCACTAGTCTATAAAAGCATGAAACTATATACGTCTAGTTCATGTCTAAAATAAGAACAGTATTTATCAAATACTTAGCTCTATCGCGACAAGCCACTTCTGGAGTCTTTAGCCTACAAATCCTTGACCAGACTTCATTCTTAGTGCTCTGAAGGACGTGGACAAACATCAACTTCTGTTGTGTGATTTCAACTTAAACTTTAGTAACTGTAAAGGGATATCTATAGAGCTCCTACTTAAAGACCCATTAGCTAAGAGTCTTGTTTTACCCCCTCTTCAGGCTCCTGGTTACTCCGTGCTGTTTGATGGCTTTGGTATTTTTCCATGGCTAAAGTGAGGAGAGGTGAACAGTATAGTTCTCTACAGACTTTTTGGTGTCGGTGATGAAATGGCTTTGGGGAGGAGGATGAGGTAAAATGACTGAGACCTGAGAGTTCACGGTAGGTTTCAATTGTACAATTTAATATTCCACTGGATCTCTGCTCTGAAGGTATATCATCAGAGAAGCCTTAACCCATCACTCTGCCGCAGGACAATCTCCTCACACCCGGCCCTTACTTATTCTGCCAGTCCCTGCCAACGTTTGGTATGATCTTAGTTTCAACGATAACTTTATTTCTCCATTAAAATATGAACTCAGTATGTTTGAGAACTTTGCTCCCAGGCCACTTCCTAGCACTGGCGTGTTGCACCCACGCACAAGGAACTGAGTGGATACGACACAACAGTGCCCACGCTGCGCTGCGTGTCAAAAGCAATGCAACTTGCATTCTTAAATATTAACAACCAGTGTCTAGGAATGGTGGTATGTCCTGGAAAACAAAATATATTTCCTCTCAAGAAACTACAGCATCCCAAATTAGTGTGCTTACTATTTTACCAGACAATATAAAATTGGGTGTGTACAGATCTGCAGACTCAATGTGTTTTTACCGCTTTGGTCCTTAAACAAGAATTGAATTTCAACATAAATATACTGGAAACTCAAATAACAAACTCAGAACAAATTTTACTGTAAAATAACCTACATATTCTAAAGCATAAGAACAAGAATGGTGTGGAAAAGCCACTGACGGCATAAATTCCCACTGCTGGCATGTCGTGATGAGTACTTTCAGGGAAATAACAAGTTTTTCAAACATAATTTAAATCAGACTGCGATCCCTTCAAGAAACTATATTTCTTTATATGAGATAATTGAGAAGAAACAGAATACTACTAGAAAGATTATCCCCTAAGGTATCAGAATATAGCCATTTATTTTACGTAGATAATTAAGTGATCCTTAAAACTCTAAAATTAAAGAAAAAATATTCTAATTTCAGACAGCTTTAAGAAAAAAAATGATGGGTTGGTGGGAGGATCTGTGAGGAGCTGGGGCAGGGGAAAATTGTAATCAGAATATATTGTGTGAAAAATTTCAATGAAACAAACAATGAAAGATTTCCTAGAGACAAGAATAAGAATATGTTACTAACAAATGCTTAGATAATCAAAAGCTTATGTTACCACATAAAATTCTTTTTTATGAATTTTTTAATTTAAGAATAAAAATAACTTACCTATAGGATATCCCAATGCAAAGTCGTTACTTTGTGTAGCAAAAATAGGGAACAGTCCAGCTTTGCTAAAGCGGCTCTCGGGATTGGCAACCAATAAGGTCAATATGCATACGATGAAAAACACAGAGGCTTTGCCAATTAAGATACTATAGAGGAAAGCCCAATCCACATTGGAAAAATTAAGTACAACCATATTTTTGAATAGTAAAGCGGGCAGGGCAAATCTGGAGACAAAATTTCCCAGGCCTTTGGCCTGTGTCGATGTGATGACATTGGCCCTCCCTGCTATGTAGCCACAAAGGACTATGCCAAAGCACTCCAGCAAGGCTGGGAAAAGCCTTGTGATTGACATCGAAGGTGGGTCATTGGTGGAATTGAATCCATGAGCTGCTGTTGCAGACAGAGTCTCGTTAATGGCAAGGGTTGAGTTCTCTGCTGAAAACTGAGAATCCATTTTCTCTCTCCTTTCACCTCCAACTAAATCTTTGGGGAAAAAAGAAAAGAAAAGAAAATTCAGTGCTACAACTAACCAGAGAATGAAATGGAACACTGCAAACCTGGACTTATTTACATATAAATGCCCACACTCTCTGCAAAGTCCAACGGGGTGCATGGGGGGCAGGGAAGACAAGAGAAAAGAGGTAGGGGAGGTGCTTCACTCTCAAAGGTAGGTCAGCTCAAAATATTCCTGTTACCATTCTGCTTTTCAGTGTCCACAAACGTTACAGCTGCAGTCATGCCCTGTGGTTCTCTCCGGGCATCCACAGTCCACCTCCATCTAGTGGCCAAGAGGAGCAGGCTCAGTGTCTACAAAGGACCGACTTGCACCCAGAGTCTCTAGAAACTTCGGACGTTCTCACGGGTAGATGAAGAAGTCACACTGGAACCAGAAGTCCCTTCTAACCAGTGGTCCTGCTTGAGCCTTAGGGAGAATCATCGCAGGGCAGCACTTACCAACTTGAACCTGAAACTTAACGTCTTCCGCTTCACTTTATCATCTGTGAAGCGGCAATATCAGGAGAGTCCTTTGGCTCCAATCACATCCGGCACACGGCAATCGCTTAACCAAAGCTGAATATCACTTTCGGTAGAGTACGAGGGAACCTTTGAGAGAGAAAGTGACTATAAGACGTGAGTGCACCAGCCTCCCCTTAGTTCATTTTACATAAGCATACACACGAACCTACAGTTCCTCAGGGCCACAGGGGGCTTTACACGTGTAGCTCACTCTAAAATGCGCTCTGCCATTTGTACTGCCCACATAATGAACACTTACCCACTCTCAAACTCAACCGTATGGTTCAGGAATCATTTCGTCGGGTGAGGTGTCTTTAATAACATAGTCAGGCATATTTTTTTCTCAAATAAAATCATGGTCCTTCCCTTAGTCTGCTTTTCTCGGCTTGTTTATCCCAATGTCTTGCAACGACTGTCTCCTTTACCAAACTTGAAATGTCACAGAAGCAAAGACCATACATGTCTCTCCACACTCTCGTGTCCCTAATATCTGGCACATAGGAAGCACTGGGGGAGAGGGGCTAGATTCATTAAAAATTTCACTAAATTCATTAAACAACAACCTGTTCTTACATCAACCTCTTCTCTCCTTGCCAGTTCTCTCTTGGGTACTATCGAATCCATGAGTGAACAATCTCTCTTTCCACATGATAAATGCTTTTCACAGCAGCAACAGCCCCGAACACAGACTGTTTCCTAAAACGTTATAAAGATGTTCATGAGGTTCTTAAGGACCAACTTCTGTGGGCTAAGGTGGCAGCTGATAGACTCCCCTCCTCTTGCTGCCAGAGACACAATGAGCACAAACTTTAGATAATTCTCAGATGACTCGGGGTTTTTTTTTATAGTAATTTGGAATTAATATGATGGTAATTGCCAATTTCTAAGTGATTATTCTCGGTGTCCCATGTAAAGACAGGGGAAAATCTGGTGTCTCCTGCAATTTACAAAGCTTAGCTAAATTCTTGAACACCCACATCACATTCAAAACACTGGGGTGACAGATCAAAGATCATTAATTGATACCCGGGTTGTGTAAGAGAATATTTCCTGTGCTGCTCCCTATAAACCAAACCCTTGGAAAAACCTTACATCTCACTGGGACTAAGACAAGCATTTCTTTTTTTTCTGCCAGGATTAAACAAGAGTAATCAATAGAAACCAATCCTACAATGTTCACCAAAATTTGAGTTTTACCGAATTACACTGATTGGTACAGAGAGGTTCTGGTTGGTATACATAGCCAGGCATTGGTTGGTATACATAGAGAAGTTCTAGTTTGTACATATGCCAGGTTCTGGTTGGGACACATAGCCAGGTTCTGGCTGGTCACATAGCCAGGTTCTGGTTGGTACACATAGCCAGGTATTGGTTGGGACACATAGACAGATTCTGGTTGTTACACATGGTGACCCTTGAAGGATTTGATCAGCAATCAGATTTGAGTATTAGACATTGGAGCCCTTAAGAAATGTGTACTTTGCAATGTGTACTTTGGAAAGGTGGTGAGAATCTGGCCTAGACTTCTGATGCTTTTCCCAAGTTTCCTATATTTCTTTACTTGGATAATCCATAATCCCTATTTGGACCACATAAGAACAACAGTGTAGCTGTATATATTTTTTTAAAATATCAATCTTAATTAGCAATAGTTAACTGAAAAGACTAACAGACTTTGAGCCTTAACCTGGATCAACACTTTGCCTCCCTCAGTCGGTTTCCTTAACTGCAAAATGAGCAGGGAAACGTCCCGAGAGAGACACTATATAGAAAGGATATTTAGTTCACAGCTTATCACAGAATAGGCCTTCAGGAAATGGCAACAACAGTCCTAGGACCAAGTGTGGTGTCCCACGCTAAAAACCCAGCACTGGAAGACAGGCAGAAGGATCCCAAGCTCAAAGCTAGCCGGGGCTGCACACTGAGAGCCTGTCTCAAAATCAAAACAAAACAAACACACAAACAAACAAAAAACCCTAACCATCAAAGAAAACCAAAAGAGGGTGAGAGAGAGGGCAGAGGGATTGTAGACCTCAGGGAAAGGATTAGAGTGGTAACCAAGTAAAGAGCATCCATTGTCCTAAGTAGCTCTACAGACACACCTGCCATTACAGATCACCAATAACAGAAGTACTGGATAGTCCAAAAAGTTACCAGTTTGGGATGTGTCATAAAGGTACCAGTCTCTGATTTAGACCCACCCATTACGGAAGAGTTGAATTCAGTTTGATCTTAAGTGGCTGCTGACAATGAACAAAGACCTCTTCATCGAGGTGATGACCAATAGGTAAAGAAAGACTCAGGTTCAGCTTTCGATTAATTGAAAATTAAAAAAAAAAAACTTTAAAAAGTAATCTGTATTTTTCCCCGCTTTTAATTTTTCCAGTGTTATAAAAGCAACAGTTCCCGAAGCAAATGAAAATTAAAACTAGCCTGACATGATGGCACACACTTTAACTCCAGCATTAGGGAGGCAGAGCCAGGAAGAGCTCAAGCCTTGCCTCAGCTACAAAATAAAGCCAGTCGGGATTTAACAGTAGCACTTGTTCCAAAATAAGGAAGGGGAAATTAAAAATAAGTCTGAAGTTTTATCTCATACCACTTTAAACATGAAAAACAAAACAAAACCAAAAAAATGCTTCTAAGGCACATTTTAAGATGAACAAGAACCACAACAAAGGAAGTTTTAAAAAAATGACATCCAGTTATTTAATCTACAAAAACAAGACTTGTTACAGAACACACAAGTTGAACTGCCGCTATGCAAGCCAGTTCACTGGGGCAGACACTTGAAAATGAAGTATACAAACGGTCTAGTCACTTTACATTTGCCTTAGATAGCATCACCAAAGCACTGGAATTGTAGATTAAATTGCTACTAAGTTAAAATGTGGTACATTGTTAACTTGAAAGAGAAAGCTTTAAACTCTTGGGCTGTTCTTTTCTCAACCACCCAATACCCTTTCTCTATGAGAAAAACCTAGTGCCATATGGAGTTATAAAAGAACTCTTAAACATCAACAGGCACCCTATCCACAGCCTGTTTCCCCGGTCTGTCTGCCAGAGACAGACTTTGGCCCGCCAAGATAAAGAGTGCAGAGTCCCTAAGCGAATAGATGGCCCCGAGGGCAGCTGGCATCCGTGAAAATGGAAAGCCAGGGCATAGGAGTCACGTCAGGTGCTCCGTAAAGAAGGAGAAAATTTGGCGCAAAGCACCAGGTACCTCGGCAGAGACGCTCAGGAGGGGCAGATACTGGGCCCCCCCTTGAGATAAAGTGAAAAGTCCTAGATGACAGGGTGGTCCCACGTGCAACGGGGCGCTCCGCACCCTGGGGACGCAGCTCTGGCAGCAGATGGGATAAGTCGCCCCCTCTGCGCAGACCATCCCGAGTGTCCCCGCAGGTTTCAGGCGTAGACGATGCGGGGCAGAGGGGAATAGGCGTTGCAACGGGCCGAGGCCGGGGACACCGGAGCCTGGCGCTGCCCACTGGTCAGGACCCCAGGGAAGGGGCAAGAGTAAGACCCAGCAGGTCCATCCTACCGGCGCTCATCTCACCTGCTAGGTCTGCAGCCGGGGCTGCGAGGAGACGGCTGCCGGTGCTCGCAGAGGGCCGAGCAGAGAGCACAACGCCGGCATCTCCCGCCCCCAGCCCTCTTCTCACCGCGGCGTGGGCTAGCTGCAGCTGCCCAACCACGTTCCGAGAAAGGGAGGGGCGAGCCGCTGCGGCCCTGTCAGCTACCTTGAACGCCCGCGGCCCGGGGTCTCCGCCCCGCCTTCGCCCCGCCCTCGGGCCCCGCCCCCGGCCTGAAGGTCGGTGATGCGGGGCTCCACCCTGCAGAGGCCCCGCCCCCAAACTCGCGGCAGGCTCCACCCCGTCGCCAGGCCCCGCCCCCAAACCCAGGCGATACCGCTCCGCCCCGCCCCCCGGTTCCCGAGTCCCTCCCACACGGCCCCTTCGCCGCCCTCACGCCTCGTCCAGACTGGGTACTTCCGGCTTCCCTCCTCCCACAAGATGGCCGCCCGGCTGGGGTTTGCCAGTGTTGATCTCCTCCGCCTCCGTTCGGCGTCAGGGAAGCCTATCATCCTCTTGGTTAACCTCAGCCTCCAGTAATCCTGTCAATTCTCCTCTTGGTTAGTTTCGTCATTTCATAGAATAGAATATACAAGCTAGGGCTTAAGTCTGTGAGTCCAACCCTGCCTTCTGCTTTTCCCAAAGTATCATGACCTTGACCCTCCTACATCAAGAGATTAAAATGTAAGCTTCAGTGGTGTGGTGGATTTAGAATAGGTTGTCAGCGATGACTGCTTCTATTTCTACTGTGGAGGAAACTCTGGGCATATTCTCTTAGTTTTCTGAGAGGAAATCTCCCGAAGCTTCTTGAAGGCAGTGTGTAAAACTGAAGAGGAGGCTCTCCAATTCCAGAAAATTGAAATAATTTTCTGGAGCCCAAATTATTTCAAATTTAAAGCCTGATCTCATTGTCCTTAAAATAAAAAAATCTTGCTTTGCCAATTTAACGGTTTTGTCTGGCAACTACAGCACCCTATAGTCTGTGCGATTTTGGTGCAAAAGTGCAATACTATACGGTTTACTAGGAGAAATCACAGTGAGCCAAGAGTGGGCTTAAGGATATGAAAATTAAAAGGTGAACAGAATTGAAACTATCTTTTAAATGCAGCCTACTCACCTCTTTCTGTTCATTTTTTGTCTTTTTCACTTTTAACCTTGCATGAACCTAGCTACAAAAAAAAAACTTCAGTTATCTCAAGGCTAGACTTCTGCTTAGAAAATATGAACACTAGTTAAGTATTTAGTGAACTTTGACTGTTAGAGGACTACTAAAAGATAGGCCTAGAAAGGTAAAGTTAGGGCCAACCTGTAGGAATTCCTCACCTTATCTGGGTTTTGAACCTTATCCTTTGACCACACAGTAAGATTGGTACGTTTTCCCCACATGGGAACATGTCAGTGTATTTCATGCTATATGATCTGGATGCTTTCCCAGGATAAGTTAAAAGATGAAAGGCAAGAAAAACAGTATGGTGACTTTGGGACCGGTCAAGACATAAGGAATAACCTACTCTGGGCTGGTGGCAGTAAAGGTTTGGGAAGTGTTTCAAAAGAACTGTGGCACTTGATTGCTGGTAGTGGCAAAGAAGTAGGTCTGGTGAATAGTAAGTCTTTCCTCATCCACTGAAATAAAGGGAAGGAATCAGAAAAGAGCATTTCTAATATGTTTTTCAGCTCTAAAATTCTGCTATCTGGAGATGAAAGGAAGAACTATTTAAATGCATTTACAAAAGAGGAAGAAGTTACAGAGCGAATTTAGTTCAAGACCTAAAATCTGAATCCTTGAGACATTCTCTGTAATACTCTCGTTTCTTTCCCTCTGAGGCCCTGGGAGTTTAGATATTCGGTTTAAAGAACCCCAGGCTTCAGATGCCACCCCTGGGAGAAATGAAAAACCCTTCATCGTCTTGTGAGCTGATAGTACTCAAGGCGGCATCAGCACACGTACCTATGAATGTGCAAGAGTGATGGAGGAGGGTCATTTGTCTATGAGTATGTTCACAATCCATTATTTACATTTGATACAGCAGTGTCTTCTTATAGTTTGCTCTCACTTTTCTTCTTGTTCATTCAATCTGAATTAAAATTACACTTTGAAAATAAAACTTAAAAAAAGAAAATCTACAATAAGTCGTAAGATACTTATTTTGGTTACCGGGAAATGGTGCATAAGACTCAACAATAACTCTTATTCAACCACTATTTGCTAAAACAGGTAAGCATGAAAATCCACCATAAACTAGAATAACGTAAGAGCATTAACACAGTACAGTATATAAACTTAGAGAAGACAAAGGCCTGTGTTTGTTAACTTAGACCAGTGCTTTCTCTGACATACGACAGGCATTCTACAAATGGGTTTTGAATGACTGAATAAATTACAATTGTCTACCTTGCCTACCAGCTAACCAGGAGGTTGAAATGTTCTATTCAATATGAGTTCTTTGCTATAAAGAACTGCCATGTAGCTAAACAATAACTGATTTCTTGTTTCCGTAACTGATTTCTTATTTTTCCCTGCCTTTCACTGCCTTAATTTTGTAGCCTAGTTTTAAGAGTCGTCTAAATGGTTTACTTCTTTGTTGTAATATTGTAACTTAATTTCAGGTCATTTTAAGGCCCTGAAAATTATCTTTGCCTATGCTTACAGGTGTGTGTGCTTTGACAAGCACCCAAGAGGCTATTTTTCCCCTCTCCCTTCCAAGCTGGAACTGAAACACTCACACAAGTGCAATGAGAAGACGTGGAGCCTGACCATCTCACCTGGCTGTCGATCTTGTTATTGAGCACAGGTAAGGTTTGAATGTGGAAAAATGAGCCGGGGCCATTGTCTGGACCAGAATTTAAGAAGTCAAGCGTGAAAACAGAGTTGGGTTGTGAAATTACAAGTAAAATCAGTGAATTAGATAAGACAGGATGTAGAAACCATAAACTAGAACCTTGGGGGTGCATACGTCTGTTTCAAGATTTAGCTTCTCCACACTTGTGGTTTTCTTTTGACCACTTTATTTTGAAAGAACACGAGAAAGAAAGAAATGCACTCGTCTCCTCTTCCAGCCTGCACGGGACTCACCGACTAATTAATAGATAGTTCTAAAAGAATCTGCGGAGCATCTTTAGGTTTGGATGGTGTCCAAGACCAAACACTAAAACTAACCAGCGTTGTATACTAGAAAGGGTCAGTGGAGGAAACTTTGGGTTTTAACCTTTACTTTGGAGTAAGATTTTTAAGAATTTTTTATTTGACAGGTTCTAGGTAGATCTGCTCAGTAAATGACACAGGAAAGGAAGGAGGAAGGGAGGGAGATTTCATACCTTCTTCTTATCTTACGCAAACCCCAGAATTATTCGCCTAATCAAGAATGTTGCTGGGCAGTGGTGGTGCATGCCTTTAATTCTGGTACTTGGAAGACTGAGGCAAGCATATCTCTGTGAGTTCAAGGCCAGTCTGGTCTACAGAGTGAGTTCCAGGACAGTCAGGGCTATATACAGAGAAGCCCTGTCTTGAAAAACAAAACAAACAAACAAAATGTCAAGAATATATTTTAGGGTGTCCAGTCTCCTCTGCTAGAAGGGGAAGGCCCCGCTCTCTCTCAGGTAGATGTGTCCACATCTCTCTCACTGGGAAGTACTTGCCATACAATAGCACTTGATAAATACTCGCTTGCATTCTGACTCATGGGTACAACCCAGACAAGACTGCTGCTGCTCTATATTTAGAGTCATCTAAAAACGGAAGCACCTGCTCTCTCATGGGCTGCCTTCTTCACTGTAAACGAGAGTAACAGAGGGGAGTTTTCCAAACCTGACTCTCTGTTTGGCAGAAGAGTAACCAGACGTTTTCTGGAGCTCACAATAGCCGAAACAATAAATGAGAACTCATCGCTGGCTGTGACACAGAAACCAGATGATAAACAAATCTGCTCTGGAACTCTGTTCCCTGGGTATGGCATGGTTGTCTCAAAATCAGAGAAAATATGATTACCCAAACCTTCACCACGTTGAGCTCAACATTCTCTGGTGGAAGGAATGGGGAGGGAAGGGTCATTGACCTTCATCTGAGATCACAGTCATGCCCCTGCCCTGGACCTTCACCCCAACCCCTAGTTGCGTATAATCTTATCCAGCTCTGACTTACAGTCAGAGAAAGGTGCTGGAGACTAGAGGTAGATTGTTAACTGAACCGGGGCATTCCTTCTATGTATGTTCTGGAAGTTCATCACTCATGGTATGGTGAGAATTGGGGATGATGCAAGCTATTTATTTTCAAACCACAAGCAGAGATTTAAAAAAAAAAAAAAGGAGGCCTCCTCTTTCCCTTTCTCTTCACCTATTCAGTGTGAGGTTTCTGATCACAGAGAGAACCGTCATGCTTCTAGTCTGTCTAGCATTCCTCTGCTCCTGCTAGAAAAGCAAAGCCAAGAAGGCGCATGTCTCCTAGTACAGGGTGCCTAGCCTGTGAGGAGACTGGAGAGGAGGAAGTTGTCATGGAGCTAGCTAGACACTTCAAGGGGTAGGGCACATCATTGAAAATAATTACAAAACAACGCAGGAGAAGTCTGTCTCCTCTGCCTCTGGAAAGGGAAAGAGTGCTTTGGGCCAGCCTCACTGGAGCGCAGCTACCCATAGGAAGCTCTGTAAACAGCCAGCCGGGACAGGGTGTAGCTCATGCTCACAAGAACGGCTTTCCCAAGCAAGCAGCTCTCCTGTTGTTTCATCCACACAGCTCAGTTTTGATGAGCTTGCGGTCTTTCTACCATTGTTTCTCTTTCTCAGCGGTTTTTTTTTTTTTTTTTTTTTTTCATGTCTCAGTACTGTGACCCACAAGGCTTGGATCCGGAACCCTGACAAGGGACATTGAGGGAATGAAGAAATTGTAGATACACAGGTCCACATTCAGAAAAGCTGGGGTCGGGTTGAGTGTGTGCACTCTGATGGAGAGAACCTACTGTGGCAAGCAAGCTGGAACCTTATGGTGTTTATTACCAAAAGCACGCATGGCTAGTCTCCATTGGAGAGGTCTGTAGACATGCAATCTCAGACTATAAACATCTGGCAGGGAGGAGCTGCTGTTGCATACCCTGATCAATTGTTCATAAACATTCATACATGGTCTAGAAGAAGAAGGCTTTACCAATTTTGAGCTTGACCCATATGGGGAAAGGCTTTGCCAATTCCCCATGGGCCCAAAACCTTGGTCCTCATTATGGCTAATGCTCGTCTACAATACACTCAGGGCTTCACTCCCTCGGGGCTTCTTTTGTCCCCCTATGTCAGTTTTCTTATTTCTTTATTGTTGCATGCTGGGAGCAATTTGGTATAAACAGGTTACTCGTTCCCCACATGATTTGTTTGAAACAATTCTAGTGTGTTGGTTTAATCAACACCTAGAAAAGTCAAATTAATGAAGAGAAATAAGAACGTAGTGGGGGTGGTGAGCAGTCATAAGGATTAAGGTGGACAATTAAACAGGACTCTTAATCACAGCCAGAAATCCAAAAATCTATCCTGCTGGTTCTCATCCAAGCCTTTGGACCAAGATCACTTGTAGAACATAATTTCCCAAAAATGCAGATACCAAGGCCCCAGGCAGACTTTCTAAATCAATGTCATTGACATCATGTCCAGGATGTGCTATGTATACACACATACATAATACATATACACATATATTTATATATAATGTACTTGAGCTTCTACAGATGGGTCTTGTGCAGATTCTAGACATCACAAAACGCTCATGGGTAAGCAGGACTGTTTGTATAAGAAGAAGGCAGAAGGTTTTCCTAGGGCATCAGACTCTGGGGGAAAAACCTTATCATGACAGGAAGCAGGCACACTGAACCCGGCACCTTCCTTCAGAATTCCGTATCAGTGGCTATTGCTACTTAGGTTTGGTTTTTCCTTTGTGTGGAAAAGCAAAACAAAACGACTGCTGCCCCAGTCCTTGTACTCTAGAGCGTATCTTCACCGCGGTGCCACGTCCAACTCCCGCTCAGGAGTTAACTCCACGTTACAGGAGCAACTGGGTGACGTCATGTTCTGATCCATGGGGTGCACTGTGGGCCAGGTAGCCAGAATTCAGTGCAATCACTTCGCCAGCTCTTAAAGCATTGGCTTTTAAGAAATAGTTATAATTTCGTTTATTTTTTCCCCAGAGATTTTTTTTTTAATATTGCTCTTGACTAATCTTCTCCTTTGTGGCTTGTGATTTTGTTGTTTTATATAAGAAATTCTTTCTGTATAAAGTTACAATAGCCTTCACTTACATTTTTTCCCATTTAAAGTTGTGCCTCTAAAAATTGTTACACCTGGTGCCATTGTTCAAATTCCCATCTGTCACTGGAGCCCCACTGGAGACCCAAAGCTTAGAAAGTTCCTTCACACTCAGGAGCCACTTCAGGACTCCTGATACAATCTACATCAAAGTCCAGCAACAAAAAAAAAAAAAAATCAAGTAATAGAAATGTACAAAGAGATTTAAGAATCTACAAAAGGCATTCAAGGAAGATAACAGAGTGGTATCAGCTCCTGGAAATACAAGTTCTCTTAAAGTCAATATATTTTCTCCCATACTGGAAAGATAAGGCCAATAGCAGGCCTGACCCAAAGGCTAGCAATCACTCCCACTAAGGGTAGGTGACTTATGTGTTTGCCAAATGTCTCCTACAATGCTTACCCTATTTAATGTCTGTCAGGGCCTTGAAGATGCCCTTGCACAAGTCACTCCACAGGCCCATTTTAGATCCAATGAGAAAACAACTGCCACCCAGAATGAAATCCTTGGATGAAATTCCTGGAAGGTGTTCCCACAGCTGAACACTGTTCTGACATCTCACACCCACCTGCTCTCCCCAGTTTTTGGCTCAGATTTGGAGTTAGTTGTTGGACTAGGGCATCAGCTCTCAAAAAGCTTTGTGGTCTTTTTATTCCTGCCATCTTCTACCTTCCGCCAAGGGTGGCTTCAGATCCCTGCTGTGCCCACCTGTTATTGGCTTGGCTCACTTGTGCTCTGGGCTCCAACCCATCAGAAGCAGAGGGTTGTGTCAGCTCCTCCGTCCCCTCTCAAGCTGGCAAAAATCACCTGCCAGATAAAACTTTCCAGCTGCTGCATTCTGGAGACCATCACAAACCCGCACAGCCAGGCTGAGTTCTCTCCAACCGTCTGACTCACAATCATCCTAGCAAAAGAGCCTTCGCCCTAGAAGTGAAATCACCTGTGTTCAATACCAGCCTAGCACTGGGCCTGTTTTTCTCTTTCCTGGTGACTCTGGTAGCTGGGTAGGCCCAAGTGATGATTTCCTGCCCGCACCTTCCCTTCTGCCTGCTATAAGTGCCACTCCACCCCTCCCAGAGGAAGTGGGCAGGAGTGGCCTGAACTTGAGGTGGAAAGGGCTGTCTTGGCTGCTGGCAAAAGGCAGTGGCTCTTTCCTGCCTCCCTAACCCGTGCTCTTTTCTCCAAGTCAGCTTCCTCAGTTAAAGCACAGACCGATACATATTCCTGCCACTTCCGATCTGTCCACGGGGGACCAGCCCAGGGCTCCACTGCCCCCAGATCTTGGCTTCTACAAACCTGCCTGCCTCTCCTCTGCACTCAGAACCCCTTTGCAGCAGCGTTCTACATGGGGGCAAGGTTTGTGATCTGAAAGCTCTCAGGTCGTCAAGAGCCCTCCTGTCAGCGTCCTGACCACAACAGAAGTGCCTCAAACAGCATCAAGAATTGTGTGGCTGGGGCAGGGGATGTCACTCATTTAGTAGTTTTGGCCTCGCTCACATACATGAAGCTCTGGGTTCCATTCCAGGACTGCATTAATTGGGTGTAGTGGTGTACATCTTCACCCTCATCAGTTGGAAGGCAAAGACAGGAAGATTAGAAGTTCAGAGGTCATCATTGGCTACGGAGCAACCATAAGACCTTGCCAAAGGAAGGAAGGAAAGAAGGAAGGAAGGATTGTAGGTCTGGAGTTTTCTTCCACTTTCTTCACCGCCAGGGGACTCCTCAGTGCCCTTCTTTTTAGGTAAAGAACCCAGCCAGCCCCAGTTGCGCTTTTCCGAGTTGAGTCACTGCAGCCACAGTTTGCAGTTCCATCCTGAGCAGACGCATGGCATTACTTAGGAGTGGCAAACTCAGTCTGGGACCTCTTCAGTAGTTTTACACATCTTAGGCCAGGAGCCAGCTCGTGCCCAGGACCCAGATGTACGGGCCGTCTGCCTGCCTGGAAAACTTGTCAACTCTAGTGGAGCACCCACTGAGGATTCCTGGATGGTGTATATCCTGTATATGTTGGCTTTAGGTAGCTCCTATATACTCTTCAGGACTGCTGCAAGGTGTGTGTGTGGGGGGGGGGTCCTAAGAAAATCTTAAGGCATATTGTGTTTGCTTAGTTTCTGTGGTTGACATGAAGGATTATAAAGACCATGGTGACTTTAAACATATGCTCTTACAGCTCTGCATGTTAGCAACCCACATCTGGGTTAAAGTGAACATCTGAGCAGGGCTGCATTCTTCTGAAGGTTTTAGGGAAGCATTCTAGCCCAGGTTCTAGCCACCCACTTGTGGGAAGGGGCCTTTGACCCTCTTCCTCAATTTTCAAAACCAGCCAGGTTGTAGCTCTCTGGTCTTTCTTCCATGGAATTATCTTCCTGTGGTTGTGATTTCTACATTTTCTCCACTTTCCGTGATTAGGTTGCGTTCACTTGGGTCATCCCAAACACTCCATCTCAAGGTTCCGGATTTAATCACTCCTCTTCGAGAACGTTCTGTTCTTCTGAGTCACCTTGTCGTGTAAATCACTAACTCTGGAGACTCATCACACACGCACAGTGGGCTCTGTCCTCGTTAGCTCTTTCCTGTCCCCAGCTGTCTGTCTCTTCCACGACTCTCTTCCTCTGATGGATCTAGTGAAGCTGATCATATTTCGGTTTATGCATCTTTTTTTTCCACTCCTCACGGTGGGACTTCCAACTTATTTGTTGAAAGGAACCAGGCATCTCCAGCTGCCCTTTTATCAGTGTCTCACCTCTCATTGCATTGCGTTCAGAAGCTCAAAGCAGGGCGTTAATTCAAGCTTACCGCAGCCACATTTGTACTTCATAGCCTTTTCACATTTGAAAATTTCTGGTTTTAATCTCTTTCTGTCCACAGTTTTTCATTATGACATTTGAGATACTCTAAACTTGTGAAATTCTATGCATGTTATCCCATTTCTTAACTTGAAAATAACAATACCTTATTGCCTAGTTGTGATAATTTAAAAGTAACTAATCTACTATGTCTAATTGGGTATATGATAGAGACAGACATGCAGGAAATGAGGTCATCTCCATCACTTAGTCCCCGCCGACCCTTGTATCCTGAGAAATGGCCTTCCTACACATCGGAATCTTCCTCACTTCTTTTGGAAACCATCTTTGGCTTTCCTCTCGCCGTTTCAGACTTCTTCCTGTCCACAGCTGCCTCTTCCTTATTTGTACGCCTCTCCCTTCCTGTCTTCACTCCTCTTTCCAGTCATCCTCGTCTTCCTTACCAGGGATATCAGAAGAACCTCAACCAGTCTGTGTTAACTGTGGCTGGCCTTTCTTCCAGCAGCCCCCGCCTGTGTCCCCTGCAGGGTTGCCCTCTGGGATGCCCAGAAGTTTCATGTCCACAAACTGGCTCAGTCGGTTCAACCATGACCGCTGAGAAGAGCTTGACCCATCATCCAGGATCCTCACTCTCCCTTTCTTGTTCTAATCCAGTACCTCCTCCACGCCGAGCTATCAGCCACAAGTTCTCCCGAGCCATCCTCTCCTCACAGACATTTAGTCTGTCTCTTTTCAGTATCCTTCCAATTTCACATGCTGTCTTCAGGGCCTGGTTACATACGTTGTGGTGAGCTAGTCCACTTCAATTCCTCCTAAGTGTGAGATCATCTGTTGGACTAGGATTGCATAAACCTTCAAGTAAATATCTGTTTTGTCTGTAACATTTTGGGTTGACTCTTAGCCAGATTTGCTTGTGGGTGGACTCAACTTCCCCATGCCCTGTTCCTTTGTTTCACTTTCAGTGTGGAAATGCTGGCCAGACAGCTGTAGGGAAGCCTCCCACTTGAAATCTCGCTTTCTGATGATCCAGACCTTTAAGACTCTCTCTTCCTATTGCCAGCCTTCTCGCTTCAGACCTGGTTAGTCTTCACCAAGCCCCCTGTCTGCTCATTCCATATTATTTTTCAGGGACAGTCAAATATTTAATTTTGAAGTAACAGAACTGAAAGTCCAAGTTCAGATAGGTGTTAGGGTTATATTTGTTTTCCTTTCCATTTTTTTTGGCATGTATGTGTGGATGTATGTCCATGTGCATGTATAGGCTGCAGTTGATGTTAGGAATAATCCTCAATTACTCTTCTACCTCATTAATTAAAGTAAGGTCCCTCAGTTAAACCCAGAAATCACCAATATGTCTAGTCTTGCTAGCCAGCTTGCTCCAGGGATCCCCTAACTTCAGAGGCTGGAATTACAGACAGGCCACCACAACCACCCAGAATTTGGGATCCAAACACCAGTCCTCATACTTGTATGGTGACCATTTTAACCATTGAGGCAGCTCAGCCCTGAGGATGTGTTTTAGTTTTGTTTCTGTTGTAGGTGTCTGTTTATAATTCTAGGTTTTAATCTACCACGAAGGGAAAGTCAGGGCAGGAACTTGAAACAGCCAGTCACATCCAACAGTCAAGAACAGAGAGAGAATTAATGCACGTGTGCTTACAACTCAGCTCACTTTCTCCATTCATAGTATTGTAGGACTAAAGTCTGGGGGATGGTGATGCCCACAGTGGACTGGGTTTCCCACGTCAATCAACATGATCATGATAGGCCCCACAGACACATGCACAGGCCAACCTGATCTGGCCAATCCCTCCTCTTCTTGGGTGATTCTAGACTGTGTCAAGTTGACAAAGCTAAACATCTTAGGGCTAGAGAGACGGCTCCGTGGTTTGGAGCACTTGTTGCTCTCACAGAGGACACAGGTTCGATTCTCAGCATCTACATGGCAGTTCACAACCAGCCTTACTTCAGTTCCAGAGCATCCACTGCCCTCTACTGACCCTGGTGGACACCAGGCACAGACATGGCACACATAAATGCAGGCAAAACATTCATACTCATAAAGTAAAATAAATAAATCAAAATAAAATGACCATCTTACGTTGGTTTGAGTCAATAGTTCAAACAAAAGAAAAATGTTAGCTTTTCCATTTTCTGCTCTGCCTTCAGTCTTACAAGCTTCATGCTGAACACGGCTCCTCTAGAAACAGCAAAAATGAATCCAGAAATCCAAGTTCTGTAACTGTACACTGGCACTCAAAGGCAAGAGAGTGTCCTGTTTGGTGGTTCTAGAAAGTGAAGAAAAGTGAAAAGACCTCTTTCTTAGATGCTCCAGTGAACCTGGGACTTGAACCAGGCCACATACCTTCCCTGAATGGATGTGTGTGCCTGAGAAACGCCATGTCGTAGCTGACTGAGACCAGAGTGAATGCGCAGTTGCTGCGCCAAGAATCCATGAACCTGATGACCCAGGCAGAGATGACTCTTGGGATGCTTCTCCTCCCTGTTCACATGAGAGACGTGAGTATCAGACTGAAAGCCTGGAACTCAGAAGGAGGCAGAATGGGGATGTGGAGCTGGGCTGAGGAGTCAGACAAAGCACACTGCCTGTCCACGGCTTCTTCATAAACCCTAGCAAGACGTTTATTGGGTTGTCTGACTTGTCTTGCCTCAGGTCCAAATCCAGTCTGCTCATGTTCTTATAAAGTTTAAATGAAACAACTATGCTCATTCGAAGAGTATTATGTATTTCATAATACATATTATGCTTCCGTGATACAATGAACAACTCAAGAATGTGCATGTCTGTAAAACTTTTTACAGCCAGTGTGGTAGTACACACCTATAATCTTAATCCTCCATAAGGCAGGAGGATTGCTGTAGCTTAAAGTTTGGGTTTGTTTGTTTGTTTGTTTTTCAAGACAGGGTTTCTCAGTAGCTATGGATCCAGGTCTAGAACTCACTCTGTAGACCAGACTGGCCTTGAACTCACAGAGATCTGTCTGCTCTGCCTCCTGAGTGCTGGGATTAAAGGCGTGTGCCACCACTGCCTGGTTCCATAGCTAAAAGTTAGCCTAGGCTATGTAGTGACTTCTAGGGCTAGGGCTAGAGTGAGACTTTGTCTCAATGGAATAGAACAGAACAAAACCCTTAAGCTTTCTGACCCATTCAGGAAATGTTTGCTGGCCTGTGTTTCGTACCTTTAATCCCAGCACTCAGGAAGCAGAGGTAAGTGGATCCCTGTGCATTCAAAGCTAGCCCGGGTTATACGGTAAGACCCTGTTTCAGAAGACAAACAAACAACCTTGGACTTCGAAGTCCTCTATCATCCATCCATCCACATTGACTTTGCTGAGCTAACTTGATGGACATTTTCACTTTATGTTCACGCTATAATCCATTCAGATGAGTTTAGTCATCTAAATATTGCACCTCCTCATCCACCTTTCTCTTTTATTCGGGCTGTCTTTATACAACCTGGAGTGCAGCTCTCCAACCCTGTGTATCTCCAAAGACCCTCCTCCTGCTTGCAGAGACTTCCCCATGTTCACAGCGCTGGGTCTTCCTTTCCTACATTCCTCCTCTATTGGTATTGGGAGGCACCGTGAGTCTGTGTTAGAAGCCCATGACAGCAGCTTCTCGGTTGAGTGCAATGCTCCTGGGCCCAAGCACCTTTGTATAGAAGCGTGTGCGCACATGCACGTGTGTGTGTGTTGCTTTAGTAAAATTTTGAATAACAATGAACCAAGAGAGGGCTTGGTTAGAAGTATCTAACACTTACTAGTCCTGTCACTCTGCCTCCCACATACCAAAACTACCCACTTCTCCACAGATGCACCAAAAGCATCACATCTGTACTTCCTGCCATCTGGCCTAAGCATCCTGTACCTCACTGCCCCCCTTTGCCTGAACAGTATCACTGACACCACGTTCAAACCAGATAACATGTCTGCCCTCCTGCTTACCATCCTCCAAATGCACACAATGGCCTGCCTCTCCTTAAATCTCAGAGTGGCTCCTTCCCTTCTCAGTCTTCACTCTGGTCCTCTGAGTTTCCGCTGCCTGGAATGTTCTTCCCCCAGGCCATGAATGTCTCCTCATGACTCAGAGCTCATCTCTCTCGCCTCTTTGTTTTACCTCTCGCTCCAGACAGACTTCCCCACGCTCTGTGACTCTAGATCACATCACCTCTTATGCTTTTCCAAAGAACCTATCTCAACCTCAATGCATCTCACTTGCCTCTTCCATGAGAGCAGCTACCTGGTCCACACTGTGCTCACACTGTGTGTCCAGGTCCAAGGAGATCTCAAGAGCCCTTGTGGAAAAATTGAATTAAATGATCCATAGTTACTTTCTTTGAAATAGAAAAACTTCCTGCTTTCATAAAAGTACACTTAAGTATGATGGTTTGGATATGACTATGTGTTAGAAATATGGTCCCCAGCATGGTGGCTGTGCTAGGTGAAGGAATCTTGCAAACACGGGGCCAAATCACGAGGGCCATCCTTGGGAATGGATCGATGCCATCTTGCAGGAGAGGGACAGGGACTATGTAACTGGTAGCTCTTTGCAAAACATGATGTTACAAAGTGAGGCCACTCAATAAGCTCGGCTCTTCCATATGTGGCCATTTCCTTTTTTATTTCTATCTCATGATGTGATGTAGTCTAGAGGACGGGATGGGATGGAACTGACCTTACCAGACCCTCAGCCATGAGAATAGGGAGTCTCTAAATATTATACTTTCAAGATTCAGTTGGTTACAGCAACCTAAAATGTACTAAGATTCAAGTGCCTACTTCCATGGATTTATCAGTTAGGGCTTTACACAAAGAAACCTCTTAACAGTTGTATTAGTTATCCAGGATGACAACAATGAAAACCCATAGACTGGGTAGCTTAAATGATAAATATTATCTTACCACTCAAGAGACAGGAAGTCTAAAACCAAAGAGTGAGGGGGGAGTTAGTTACTTTGTAGACTCTCAGGGAAACAGTGACTCACCTTCCTCTTAGCTTCTAGTGGCTGCCAGCCATCCTTGGTACTCCTTAGCTTAAGATAACTTGCTCCAGTCTCCATTCAGCTTCACGTAGCCCATTCCTCCAGGTGTCTGTGTGTGCGCTCTTGTCTCTTCCTGGATGTGCACAGGATCTGCTGTTCCCCTTGCTTGATACGGTAAGAGCTCATTTTGAACCTGGACTGATTACATCTGCGGGAGCTCTTTCCAAACGAAACCACACCACAGTGCCGAGTCTTTTCAGGGTGTGTGTGCGAACACTTTAGCTCTGCAGCTCAGCACAGAAGCATGCAACCTACCCTGGTGCGCCTGTGCCCATAGCTGTTTTTAGGGTAACAGAACTCCCCAAACCTTTTTCAGTGGCTTTCAATTCCCCTTCCCTTTTACAGGTAGACTTGATGTGTGTGAAAGTTAGTATTTCTCATTGTAAGGTTAAAGAGTTGCATCTCACACAACTTAAGACAATGGACCTTTGGGGTTGTTTCTTTTTATAGATTTGCATTACTTTAAGCTTGGCAACCTTTCAAGAGACGCCTCTTATTTGGTAACAAATCCCTCATATTGGGGTGCGGGGGGGGGGCTGTAAACCTGTGTATAAACAGAATTCACTGAAGTGGCTTAACTAACATAAGAAAGGCCAGGTGAGGCAGTGTGGGGTCAGGGCAGATTGATCTTTCTTAAGCCATTTCAGAAGCATCTCTGTGGCCACACTCTTCATCTTGAAGAGAGGCACACAAGGTTGGGGACCTGGGGCAACAGTGTCCAGACGGGATCCTGGAGTTGCTCTTGCTGCCTGGAATTCAGGCGGGTCCAACTTTGGACCCAGGATCCATCTCTCCCATGCCTTTCTGGCTAGCACACAAGTGAAGTCCCTTTGTGCCTAAGTTATCCAGAACCCATTTCTGTCACCTGTATCCAAAGAAACTGATTTTCTCAAACCTAAAGTGTTTTTCAGCCTTGTCACCGTTCTGCATATTTAGCTCCGAGTTCTGACACCTTGAGTTTACTATGACATGAGATACCACTTTCAGGATGTCAGTGTCATCCTGGGCCTACAAATTAATGCAATTACAAACCACGTCAACACAATTATTAATTCATTTAGGACCCATCTTGTTTCCAAAGAATTTCATTGTATCGAATCATCCTCCAATGCTACAGCAAGAAAAAGGACATTTAAAATAAGAAACAACCACCACAAAATGAAGACACAGGGAAAATAAGGCTAGAAAAGCAAGAAAGAGCCACCCGAGTCTGCAAAGGCTCCACAACAGGTAGAGGCAAGATGCCACAACAGGGGCTGCAGGCTACACTTGTTGCCATGGTATCTGGCAACATTTTGTACTTTAAATAGGAACCATTTCCACCTGCATTTGTGTTAAAAGCTTACGATTGCTACATTAAAGTAGGACCATGAGATCATTAAGTAACCAGCCTAGTGAACTGAGTAAGAACTACACAAAAGAATGATCTGCCTCGAGCCTTTGTTAGTGCCGAAAGGATGGGGAAGCTTGGGAGGCATCTGCTGTTTCCCTTCCCTTCCCCTCTCCTCTTCCCCTTCTTTTCTTTTTGTTAATAGTACCCAGAGATCCTTTCAACTGCAATGCCTTATTTTAAATTAATGGTAACAATAACTTATTTTGCTTTCCATGGTAGATGGACATGGGAAACACATTTTGTAACTCATTTTTACAAATTGAAATATTACAAGTGGAGGGGGGCAGCCACTAAAAACACAACCACCCAGTAGTGAATCTCCTTATAAATCAAACATTATTTTCACTTTATTATTTTAGTGATGAAGGGCTTTCATATATTATAGAGATGTTAGTTTCCTCTTGCAGGTCTCATAAAGTGGAGCCCAGATTTTAAATGCAAACACTGCATAAAGATACCGCTCATACATAGTAACATGGTAAACACAATCATAAGATACTGATCTTCATTATTGTAATGATGATTTTCCCATTTTAATATTTATTGCATTCCCCCCCTCCCTTCAAGCCTCTTCCAAAAGGGAGCAGAGGCAACTATTGAACACATCACAACTGCCATCTAGTGCTTTCTTTGAAAATGACATTACCCCCCTTCGTAAAGTTGAACACTCCCAGACCAGAGAGGGGTTGAGCAGTCCTTTTCTAAAAGCGGATGTTTGTTTCCCATCAAAGAAGCTTCGGACCAGAATGTACACGTGATCTAACTTGAGTCCACTCAGCCCTCCCAGTTCTGCTGGGGTCTGCGCAGGTGTAAAGAGCTACATAGAGGATGTTGAAGGGAGAAGCCTGCAGGGTGTTTGGTGGGTGGAGGAAGATGTCGGTAGGCTTTCAGCCGGCGAGCTCCATCACTGTCTTGCGTGGGGCTCCGCCTGGTTACCGCACAGAAACAACTCAGCAGCACTAGGCGGTGCCTGCTGCAGGGCGGGTACGGCGGTGAAAAAAGGCGCACGAGCTTTAGTCTCTCTGCTATGATGGGACCAGATAAATCTTCGCCCCATCTTTGGGC